AATATCTGAGTGTTCCAAGCACGTTCTGTGCTAACTCTATAAAGAGCATTTATTTGATTACGAGGAATATCTATATAAATTGAATTTTGAAAACAAGAAGGGAAAGAAGTGTAGAGAAAAATATAGATTGCCATGAAAATGAGAAGCCATTGAATAGAAAGAGAAGGCGGAGGGATTCTCTTGAGGAGATGAAAGAGATGAATAGAGGGATGTTAGGTCAGATATGTGAATAATGTAAGAGTGGTTTGCATGGAGATGTAATGCTACTCTGTGACAGGTGTGATAAAGGGCGTGTTGGTGAAATTTTTGAAAACGGGATTTGAGAATCATCAGTTTTCTTTGGAAATTTAGAATTGACTTTGGATTTAAATTCTGAGATCGAATGTCCAATTAGAAAAGCAATACCACTTATGGAAGTGAAAATAAATTTTTTGAATGGGGTTCAAATCTATGATTACAAATCCTACATTGGATATCGTAACTAGATCCAATATAGAATCGCATGTGACCTCAAAAGGTCAAAATGAGGTTAAACCTAATTTCTAGCCATGATATTCTAGGTAAATTATCATTGATTTCATGCCCAAAGCCTTATTAACAAACGATATATCTCCCCTAAGGAAGAAGATATCATTGTTATAGATTTTCATAAGGGCACACCCCGTAAATATAGAGAAGATCCAGGATAGGTTCGGAGTGCTCCATCAGATGACTCAAATTGATTTCCCTGATCATAGAGAGTTTTTCAATTGTTTAAGTGCCTTAAGGAAGTTGGAATCCATTGATCTTGGGCTTGTTAGACTCGTCTCGCTGAGCCGCTCGATTTGACTATAAGCATGTCATATTTGAATATCATTTTTTCATCTAACTAATGCATTGAATCTTCCAAATAAGTTGAGTCTTCAATTCAACACATTTGGGCTCAGATTTAGTCGAATTTTGTGTCGTTGGGTCCGTCTTTCAGAGACGTTCAGTTTGACAATAAGTTTGTTGAAATCAAAGCTCATATGATCCCGAATTTGATTTTGAAAGTTTCCAACTTAAATACGCCTCGAGATTAGTGCATGATCAAGATGATTTTTTGTGACGTATCTGTTACCCCCTATATTTGAATGTCGAATCTTATAGAGTCCAAAAATATATTTGTGATTCTAGTATTCTGCGAAGTCAGAGCATTAATCGGAGCAGACAATTATAAAAAAAAAAAAGTTTACTCCAAAACTTTTCAAATAGCCCAAATATTATCATAAAGTCTCTTTTGAGCTTCAAAAATGTTAAAATTGAGTTCGAAACATAAAAAAATAATTGCGATGACTATAAAAAAAGTTCAAATAAGTCTTTTTAGGAAAAAGAAATATGTAATTAATTACTTAATCAATTATTTAATACTAATTATTGATAAATGAATGTGCATAATCAATATATATTTATTTGTCATTATATATACTTTGAAATCTATTTTAAAATTATATGTATTTAAATTTTAAAATTGAGAGATACTATTAAATTTTAAGTATAGGTTAAGCTTGAATGAATATACTTAATGGGGATGGTTATTGAATATGCACATCTCCGCTATTTGAAACTGAGGGCCCAGATCAAGCCAGAAGGAGACCTTGGCATATCGTGGGATACACGGTTGATATGGAGCACGGTATAATGAAATCTCAGCCATTGATAATGAGATCAACGAGTGACATTTCGTACACCTGGCCGGGCTATACTATGAAAATGCCCTATGAAACATATTTCAACTATTTCTCTCGATCCGATACACCAAAGAATACCAATGCATATAATTGATTGAATAGAAGCAGTGATGTTCAACATGCCAACAAAATGATGAAAAAAAGCATTCCAACATAAACGCAAGGGACCATGACACCAGCTATATTATCATGAACCACATAAAGCATATAACCTTGCAGCTTTGGAAGATTGTTCAGATTCCAAGGGCTATATACATAATCTTGACACACATTAACCTCAGATGTGGGTAGCACTAGATCTTTGGAACGTAGAAAACAACTTCCATGGATAGAAGTATCTAAATCAGTACCATATATTATGTTAAACTCTACTGCCTTCCCTTCAACAAGCTCCCAAAATAGCTTCTCTATATGCACTCTTGTTGCATTACTCTGTCCAAACAATTTTCTCCTTATCTTATCATTGACCCGTTTAAATTCCTCCAATGGGCACTGCTTACCAGGGACAAACCCAAAGCTATCCTTATTTGAATTACACGCTTAAAGCAATATCAGTTACCTGAAGGAACCCTGTTCAAAGGGGGAGAGAGGCAATACAAGTGCCACCATTTATCACACATGCATAGAGTAGCATTACATCTCCATGCAAGCCACTCTTACACTGTTCACATATCTAGTTTAACGCCCCTCTATTCACCTCTTTCATCTCCGCAAGAGAATCCCTCTGCCTTCTCTTTCTATTCAATGGCTTCTCCTTTTCATGGCAAATTATCTTTTCTCTACACTTCTTTCCTTTTTGGTTTTCAAAATTCAATTAATACAGATATTCCTCATAATCAAATAAATGCTCTATATATAGTTGACACAAAATGTGCTTGGAACACTCAGACATTTTCCTATATGACCACATAAACTGAGCAATGTCACCCCAACGCTTATGGTTGCAGATTTTCCCATATCTTCCATGTGGCTTCACACCATTAAAAAGAAGATAGAGATCGAGCTCGACCCTATCAAATATAAGTTTCTTCTTAGCTTTCTTGCTTAGATAATGCTCGAGGAACCGAATATACTCTAATTTGAAGGTTGCCGAGTTGCATGAGGCTGGCCGAGCCTAGAGACTTTGAATCGCCTGGGACTTCGTTGGGAAAGTGAAGGTTTCGAGGTTGCAGGCAAAGGGAGAGTTCCAGGATTTCAACGGTACGATGCGGCAAATCCCGTAGGTTTCAACCTCAGGGGTGAATCTTGGAGATGTATTCTAAGGGATCCTTGAACATGTCATCGGTGTGACAGAAGACGGGAGGCGGTGGGATAGCAAGGGATCCAACGATACAACTGGTGAGTTGGAAATCGGTGACACCACAATTGTACCCTATAATACCTTTCTCAACGGCATGAGGTTTTCCTTTCCCCATGCAAAAGGAAAATGTTGCGGGCTGGACTATGGAGACTGCATGGCTAATAATGGGCTTTTTGAGATTTTTCTGATCAGCGATCCGCTGGCATAACTGGGGGAAGTCCGAAGACAGAACTTGGTTTAGGGACTTGGGCTGTGTTAAAAGAAATTAAAGTTTTTTTTTTCAAAATTTTTTAATTTTGAGGTTGGGTTCAAAGTTTATGAGTTTTTTTTATATAATTCTTCAAAAAATGATGGTACTCTTTGGTACATATATGGTGGAGCAAATATCTTGATATTCATCTTCGAGACCACCAAGAATTTTTAATGTGAAGTTAGCTTCGTTAATGGGAAAGCAAAAAATAATTAATTTATTAGTGATAAATTTAACATACTGCATGTACTCAGTAATTATTTTCATTCCTTTGGTGATAAGACGAAGGTTTTCTTTTAGTTGAGAGAGATGCCCTCGAGATAGCTTGGCATAGGTATTGCCAAGAGTATTCTGGGCCTCTTGTGATGTGTGAGATCAAGCGATAAAAGATATTAAATTTAGAGATAAAGTTAGCAATGACACTAAGAATGGGTTGGTCTTGATGAATTCATACTGAATATGGAGAATTTGAAGTGGAGCTGTCACTAGTGTTTAGGAGTTGTGGCTGCCTGGCAAACATGGATAGGATTCATCAATAAATCCCATGAGGTCATATTTAATTAGAGCTGTATAAAATTAAAATCGCCATGCTGAGTAGTTAGAGGTGGTAAGCCTCATTTGTGTGTTCGTGTTGATTGCAACAAGGGCTTGAGATTTATCAAATAGGTTAATAGTTATACAAGAATTGAGTTTGGAGGAGACAATTGAGGGAGAACCAACCATGTGAGAAAGAAAAGTTAGATTAGGCCGGGCTGCTCTGATACCATAAAGAGAAAGATAATTTGAAGTAAAAGAATTATTCTCCTTAATTTTGTATTAGAAACTTTGTAAAAATATTTATAGAATCAAAATAGTTTTTTTCTATTTTCTTTGAGTACTGGACTTTGATCACCACAACTAGTATTTAAACTCTTGCCGGACAATTTTTTCCCTAACGGGAGTGAACTGGAGCCTACGTAAGAGTACCGGACCTTGATCTCCGCTTATAGTATTTAAACTCTTGTCGGACAGTTTTTCTTCTATTGGGAGTGAACCACAGCCTACGTAAGAGTGCCATGTCTTGATCAGCACCACAATAAATTTTTAAATTTTTGCTAGTCTAATTTCTCCTTAGTTTATATGACAAATTTTTGGACCAACTAAGAGAGGTGGTGCCTTCTCCATAACCCATAAGGGGGGTATTTAAAAATTTTCAAAGGAGGTTTGGAGAGCAAATTTCTGAATTTTTAATTATTTTTTAGAATTTTTTAATGCCCATAAATGAATTAATTTCCTATTATTAAAATAAAATGAAATAGGAAATAAATTAAGAGCAATTTTATTTAAAAATAAAATAAATATGCAGGAAATTAATTGTTTTCTTTCATGAAAATATTTTAGATTTTTCCTAACATTTTTGAATTTTTCTTTCAGAATTTCTTGAAGCTTAAAATAGTAATTTACTATTAAGGTTTTAATTAATTGAATTAATTTATTTTTAAAAAAAATTTCCGCCTGGCTACTATAGCGGCCTACTGTAATAATTACTTTGCATATAAATAATTGCCTTCTTAACAGATAAATGTTATATATATACTTTTTTTTTTCTATTTATCTAAAATGAACTTTCAAATCTAAATTTTTTTTTTAATAAAAAAAAAATAGCTATTTACCAGTGTTAGGAGGTATATAAAGCCAATTTTCTATTTATAAATAGTTTAATAATTATATATTTTTCTACTTATCACCATTCACCCCGAGCCCCGCAAAAAAAAAGAAGAAAAAAAAAAACCGCTTCGTGGGCAAAGGTCACGCCCGAAGAGGCAAGTGCCGTCGCTGATGAATGAGGAGCGTGACTAGAGGTAGAATATCGCTTGCTGGGAGTTCTTCTTCGGTCGGAAGGGAACGGCGCTACGGTGGCGTGGAAGAGGTGGATGGTTATGGGAGCCACGGGTTCGAAGCTCGAAAAGGCTCTCGGCGACCAGTTTCCCGAAGGCGAGAGGTATTTTGGACTGGAGAATTTCGGAAACACTTGCTATTGCAACAGCGTCCTCCAGGTTCTGGCCCTCATCTATCTCACATTTTTTCAACAATTGTTTCTTTTTTGTAGTGGGCTGTGTTTGTTTGTTCGGATTTTGATAGGGTTTTGGTGCATGTGGTGAAAGTTTTGATGGAGTATAAATCCTTGATTTGGAGTTGTTACGTTTATAATTTGTAAATTTACTTTTATTTGTGAAAGAAAATTTGGGTTTTGGAATGCTTATTTTAATAACTTTCAAGGCGTAGCGAATCTGAGCAAGGCTGTTTTTTGTTGTCGTTTAACAGTGCTATAAGACGTTTTTTAGCTATTTTTTGGACCAATAAAATAGAATTTCAATGGAAAATTAGCCAAAACCTGTATTCTTTTGATAGACATGTATTATTTATAGAAACTTCTTTTTAGAATCTATCTATACTACTTAGGAATCTTAAGATGGATGCGCACCAAATATAATTACCTTTAGTTGCAATAAGAAAAGTGACCATTACATTGCGTTGATTAATCTTTGGAGGTAATACAGTTAAGAGTTATTGCCATTAAATCAATACAGCAACGCATAACCAGTTTCTTCTATTTAGTTCATCTTTAAGTGTTATTAAATATAGAATAGTATGAATAAATTATATGAAGATCGACTATTAAAGGATCCAATCCTTATCTTTCTATTGTGCATAACTTCTTTTGTAAAAGCAGCCATATAATTATTAGTTAATGTTCTTTTGTAAGCTTTGATAGTCACTACTGCAAGCCAATGTCATAGTGGAAGTTTGTATATTAATGTTGAAAAGAAGATAATGAAGATACAACAGAGATAAAGTGCATAGGATTTGGGCTTTTGAAAATGCTTCAATTTAGAGCCCCATTAAGTATCATGCAATCATGATTTAAATTCGTACAATTAGAGGTGTTCCTCATGACAATGTTAAAAAAAAGCAATAAGGCTTACGCCTCATGCTTGTCAGTTGTGATTTGTGCCTTCAGTGCAATTTTGAAGATGATACAACAACAACAAGAATATTAAACCTTTATCCCACTACGTGGGGTTGGCTACATGAACCTTTTTTTCTTGTCGAATAATCATGACATTGCAATTTTGAAGATGATAAGCCTAAAAAATTGGGGTTATATAATTTAAAATTTAATTTATAAACTTCATATCCATTTTTATAAGTGATGAGATGTTCATTCTTTTTTTTTAAAATAAGGTATTAGCAATTAAAAAATCATAAGCTACAAAAAATCTAATATGATCTTGCCACATTTATTTGTCGTTTCAAACTCGTAGCCACCACGAATGTTTTTAAAATCATCTATCTCTATACCAACATGTCTATTTAAAACTCCTCCAATAAATACTCTTTCTTCAAGAGGTATCTTTTGAATTAATTCTTCTTAAGTCATTCCAAAAATTTAATTTTGAGCTCATACCCAAACCTACTTGAGTAGCATAAGCACTTATAATATTAACAATCCTAGCATCAACAACAATCTTTAAAGCTATAATTCTATCTCCAATTCAATTAATTTTTATAACATTATCCTTCAAACTCTTATCTATAATAACACCTACACCATTTCTAGTACGATTCCTACATTAATACTAAAGTTTAAATCATAAACTATCAATCTCCTTAGCCTTATCTCCAATCTATTTACTTTCCGGAATGCACAGAATATTAACTTCTTATGAATTATAATATATATTAATTTCATTAATTTTCTTGTAAGGAAACCTATATTCCAAGTTCCTATCTTAATTTTAGTTTCATGGACTAGCTTCTTTGCCCACATCTGTCCTTGATGTGAGAACTCTTGCCTATTTAACATAAGATATCAAAATTAAATAAAAGTAATATAATATATCATGTCGAAGTTAGAGACTAATTAAGTTCATCACAATAAAGTTAACTCCTTTAGTCTTACTATTCAGCATTGAAATTCTAATGATTAATTTAGCAATATAATAAGAAATCAAAAGTTCTCAGCATAATCATCACTCATTGTGTTTTCATTGGCATTGTTGTCATAGCAAATTGCTTTCTCCCCTGCATCATTCTTTGTGGAGTTGAAGTTCTCCTATTCTTCTTCTTTCATTTTAAATCTCACTCATCATTCTTTACTTCAAACAATAATAGTTAATAAAAATATTAATTAAAATAAAAAAAAATAAATAATTAAATTTCCTTATATACTCCTTTTTTGTTCTTGTTGTTGTTAGCTTGTGTTAGATGCAAATTTTTTTTTTCCATCACCATAAAAAAAATCAACATTCATATTTTCTTGTTGTAAATCAGATGTTTTGATCTTAATTTTATCGCCCACAAATCATTCGTCATCCAATAGAATATCATCACAGAGTCGGGGATCCCTTTTATTCATCAAACTTTTCTTTTTCAATTTTATATCATTTAATCTCTTGTTGAACATGATGTACACCAAGGAGTTCATCCTCAAGCTCATCATATGGTTTCTCTTTTTTGTGTGAATTTGTATGTGATCCATGTGCACTTGCATCTAGTTCACAATCATGTAAGTACCAAAATCTTAACTATAAAATATTGTAACTCAGGAGTGTCATCGCAAAATTGGTTTTATCATTCAACTAAAGCTGAAAGAATTAAGTATAGTAAGAACTCATGAATTTAGAATTTGAAGGATGCATTTTCATTTAACTTGAGACATTAAAAATGAAAAAAAAAAGTAGAATATTTTGCAATTATATCTTCAGCCTATTAAAGACCAAAGAAATCTTATTTATTCCGAAATGGTACAAGTCACATATTAGCATTTTCCCTTTCGGATGAGTTTGCAATTAGCTTTTCCATGCGATGATACAATCCCAAATTTATCTCAGGATTTGTTGAATTATTGTCTGCATATTGAAGCTGAGGATTAAGGTTGTGGCCTAATGCATCCAAATGAAAATGAAGCTATAGCTCTCACTTATCGTCAATGATATCTCATATTTACTTATAAATTTTCCCTCTCTCGCCTTAGTCATGCGAAATCAACTCATTTGGTTCATTCATTGCATTGTAGATAAAACCCATAGCTTGTTTTTTTCTACATCAACCTTTCTCAGAATTTGAGCCAATATCTAGTTGTTGTTATTGAATATGAGACACTTAACTATAAAAACTCATTAAGAATAAATTTTCTAACTTTTTTCCCTCAACCTTTTTAGCCTAAGCACAATTGAGCCATTGAGTGGAAGTAATCATAGCCTCCAAAGGTTGCCTGCCCGCAACATGCTTTGTAGTATTAAGCTGTACCAAATTTTATTGCAGTAGGTCATATAGTTCTTTATTAAAAACTTCCTCATCAATGCTAAAACCAAGAATGATTATATATGAATTTTCTTAACTTCTTTGCTTTGCTCAATGCGTTCTCATGTTGTGGCAAATCATCTAGTTTTTGATGAATGAGATCTATGTAGTGTGCAACATATGTTTTTTTCTTATCCATCAACTTTGGCCTAGTTGTCATGTAATCATTGGTGTTATCTATCACAATTTGCACTAGTAAGTGCTCTCCAATCTACTCAACCACTCCATCAAGCAATCTAAAAATGTGCTTTGCATCCTTTACCTATCAGATGCTTCTTTAAACTTCAAGAAAATAATTCCGTAAGAATTTATTTATCATTATATTAATTAGATTTCATTCATGATGTCAGATCTTGCGTTCATCATGATTGTTATTCCAATTTGACTCTAAGTCCTTTAATTAATTTTCTCAATAGCTTTCTATGTGTTGCTCAACTAATCCTTTAGCACCCATATTCTTAGGTCATACATCGATTTGGAGGGTGGAAAAAAAGAGGGGGGGGGGGGGGTTCAAGTCTCGTCCGTAAACTTCAATGGAACATATCATATTATATTAAGAAGTAAAGTCTGCCATATTGAATGAAAAATTATTCTCATATAATAACATCACATAATATCAATGCAGACATGTCTGCATGCCTCTTTAGCGATCTTTGAAGATAGCGATGCGCATAGCCTCTCTCCCTGCTTGTTATCCTCCCAGTTAACTATATAGTGATCCATGAGACCTCTTGTACCTCTACTAGACATTGGTGGCAAGGGTGAGAATGAGTCTATGCTAGTATGCTTACTTTTACTATAGTAGACATTAACCTTGTCATTGAATTGTCATTGTGTTAGATGTTTTGACCATACATGTCAATGATGCAAAATGGCGCGACGAACCTACGACGCCAGTTGCATGGTGCGGCGCACATGTTCTAGTTTACGCGCGCCATTTGCGCTATGTGTGCACCATGGAGCACGACGTGCGCAATTTGAATTTTAGGGATTTTTTAATATAATTATAAATAGTTTTTAATATTTATACATTTTAATTTCTAAAATAATGTAATAATTATTTTTTTTGTATGATTAAAATAGTTTAGTTAGGTTTTATTTGAATTAATTTTAAAATTATTTGATATGATTAAAAGAGTAGGATTTGAATGGTGCTTTTTATTTTTTCTATTTGGGGAATAATATTGCAATTATTTGAGTAGAAATTTTGGACGCACTTGAAGCTCACTTTAATTGTTTGGATTTGGACCACAAACATATTCAACCAAGCTTTACCCTACTTGATTGATACTCTAAAATAGGATATATATAATATTTTTTATAATTATTTTTTATTTTACGTCGTGTTCAAAATGGCGCTCGCTATGCTGTACGCTATATGCCATGGCTCCACGGGGAACTTTGCGCCATGGTGCGCCATTCGCCATTGAAAAATATTGTTTTAACATCATTGACTTATTCATATATGAATGAAATGCCTCTTTTAAAGTTTCTGGTACTTTGGCACACAATGCCACATATTTGTTGCATTCGAAGAGGTGTTCCTTTGTCATTGTAAAAACACCATTGACTAACTTCTCGCATCAATTGCACTACAATTATATGTATGTTTTATCGCTTCCTTTATCGTTGACTTGAGCACTATGTCTTTGTCGGTTTCTTTTTATGACTTGTCGTGGATTTCTATTTGCCTCGAATCATTTTGTCCAAAGTCTTAGAATGAAAATTTTGATTTAAATTTGAGAACAAGAAAGCATTCATAGAAATAAATAACCTAACTAAACCATTAAGACTCAAACCAAAAAACTTAGTGTTTAGAAATCTCAATCGGCTTGATAGAGAAAATTTTATTGGACAAGGAGATTCCTTGTGAAAGGGGGAAACTTGGGTAGCGGGCGTTGGTGGTGCTGGAGATGGCTAGCGGTGGTAGGGAAGTCTGGAGATGCCGGCGTCTTCCTCACAGGGTGAATTGGATGAGTTTTCATTTTGCTAGGTTGCGGTTTGCTACTTGCTTGCATGCGTGTGTTTATATTAGGTCTTATTAGGATAAATTAAGCAAATTTTATTTTTATCTGAGGCATATGCCTCAAGCTTTTGAGGCAAGGTGTGTCTCAAAAATTGTGAGGCATATGCCTCATATAAACCGCATGAGGCGTGCACCTTGAGGCAATTTTTAGGTTTAGTTTGTTGAAGCATGTCTCAAATTATATAATTTTAAACAATGTTTTATGGTATTTCCATCAGCTTAAATTTCAGTAACTGTGGAATCCACTTGCAAGTTGTTGGGTTCGGAGTGAGTTACATGGGTTTGGAAATCTGTTTCCTGCCACAAATTTTTTAGTGATAAAGCTTTGTCCAACCAAAATTTTGGTAGTGTTTTTATAAAGTAAAGCATCAGAAAAGCTGTAACGAATAGACATGTAGTTATACAAAAATTTTGATAGTGTTTTATAAAGTAAAGTAGTAGAAAAGTTGTTCCAAATTGACTTGTTATATTTCACGGTGTGTGGTAATTCTTCTTATTGTAGCAGGATAAAGTAGTTGGAGATCAGTTTGTTTATGTGGATTTTTTTTTAAGTATTAAATAACAACAGTTGTTTCAATTTATCTTATGTAGTTTGTTTTATTTTTATTTGTTAAGGTTTTTTTGCTTGTTTGTATTTCTACTTTGTGGAACTCTTATAGACAAGATCTAAGGAAATAGGGCAGATTTGGAGCAATGGCTAAGTTTTTACCACTGTGATCTGCAGTTCATAGATTTGAATCACGAAAAGAATTATTTGCAATGCGGATGAAAGACTCCATATCATTCCCTTCCATCTTGCATTTGCAATAAGACTCATGGACTGAATACACCATTTCTTATATTGGAAAAATTATTACTTCTGAGGTTAAGTTAACATTTTAGTCCATGTGGTTTGGAGACAAGCTTCTGATAGCATGGCTACCTTTAGTTAGTGTTCATTGTATAATATTTGAGCTCGTAATGAGCCTTAGAGAATTCTGATTTAGGGCTGACTTGATTAACTGATCTATTAAGCCCGACATTCTGCAGGCACTTTACTTTTGCGTCCCATTCAGAGAACAGTTGCTGGAATATTATTCAAATAACAAGAATGTTGGAGAAGCAGAAGAGAACTTACTGACATGTTTGGCTGATCTTTTTAATCAGGTGAAATACAAATTTTAATTGTGTGATTGTCTTCCTGCGCCTCTATTATTGCTGCATAAGAGATGCCTTGATGGTTTTTTCTTTTGTTTGTTTAACAAATGATATCAGTGCACCTTATCAGTTGTTATATAAAGATGTGAAAGTAGGGAAACCGGCTTTCAACATACATTCTTGTATGATTTGCATGCAGCCATGCACTGTGAACATTGATTATCATTGTCTTTGAGGGGTCCATCATCTCCTTGGACGATAGTAAGTTTGGGACTGTTCGACTTTGCATGTATTTTCATCATCTCAGAGCTATCCCTCTCACTTACTCTAATCATATTTTGAGTTACTTCAATATGTTTATAAAATTGTGCATGATTTGTTTAAGTTTTATTCTTTTATATGCACAAACGTAGGAAAAATAATGAAAACAAAATAGCAGTATGACAGCGTAGAAAACCTTTGAACATATAGAGCACACCTAGGATACGACTACATTTGTGCTTGTGCTTGTAGTAAATTAAAGTTGTATCATTCATGTCCACAAATAAACTATTACTTGTGCTTATCTTGTAGGAATAAGCCCATGAGAAGGACATTCAAAGAGTGATAGATCCAAAGAATGAGAAGAATAATCTAAAATATGGTTTATAATTGATTTTAAGTGATTCTGTTTATTTATTCTTATGCCTCATCTCAGTTCCCAAAGATGCCTATGAAATTTCATTAACTTAGAAAAAAATTCCCAAATATTTTGTCCATGTGTCTTTGACTTAGTACATGATACACGACCCTCTAGAAGCGTTTGCGCTATATAGCTAGTAAAAATGTTTATGGGTTGTAGTATCACCTTCTCACACATCATTCTAATTTATTTGGGGCTTGGCTTGAGTTTCATTATTTTCTACTTCCTTTCTACAATTCTACCTCTCCTGCTAAAAGATATAGTGTATCGGATACGGGTTATATTCCTTAGAATAAATTCCAAAGTTGTATTCGATTTATTTTTTATTTATTAGCTCTTTTCGGTAGAGCTGTGGCTTGCACGCTCCCCTTACCACCAATTTACCAGCACTGCTTTTTTTATCGACTCCAAAACATCTCATCCTATTCTCTAATCATATTCTGAAATGCTGTCATTTCTTTGTTCTATATTTTGCCTCTGATTATTCAAATTAACATTTTTACAACTTTCATGCAGTTTCTTTATTGCTTATCAATTTGATCCATTTTGCACAGCTGGTGTTGTTGACACCAAAAAGGGGTGTGATAAAATTGGCTAGAGCCTTAGAAGTATAGACAACTACAATAACTCTATATAACTACTTGCTGATGACTAAAAATTGAGAAAGAAACAGGAATTGCAATAGTTTGTAAGACAATACAGCCACAAGACTTGGTTCCCTATGGATTCTTGTGCAAGTGTGAAGAATTTGGCACCAATAAATGAGTATTTGGGACAAAGAAAGCTGCTGTACACTCAGATTTTGGCAATTTCAGCCACCACCGTGGCTTGCAGGAATCTTCCAAATTTTCTACAATGGCCAATGCCTATCCAAATTTCGGAAGCCTTCAGAGGTCAGAAAATCTGCTGGAATGTCCAGCAGTCCTGCTAATAATTCAAAGGAGAAATAGGCAGTTATTTGTTCAGTAATAAGACAATAGTTAAATATCGATTAAATAGCAGAGAATCGGATGGATTGGACTTCTTGCTTTAAGATGATAGCGGAACTTGCCAGCCTGAAGATGCTCATGCCAATTGAAAACTTTTTGTAGGCTGATTGGGTTAAATTTAAGGGTCGTAGGATGCTAATTTTTTCTCTTCCCAGCTCCATCCTTGACTTCCCCACTTGATTGCTAATTGCTGGCTTCAATCACAGCTTCCAGAAAAAAACAATCCAAGATCTTCTGGAACTTTTCCAGCCAGTTGAAACTTGATTCCTGCACTTGAAGCCAGCAATTAGCAATATGTTTGTGATCCACATTGTTTCTGCTATTGAAGTTTCTTATTGATGGAAAATGGTACTAAACATCATTGAGCTACTTTAGTTTCATTTTCTTTGCAGAACCAATAAGGTTTTAAATGCTTTGGATGATCTTGTGTATGGAGATTTATTTATTTATTTTTCAGTCTTTGTAGATGCTGCATCTTCTCAACTTTCCCTATCAATAATGATGTTGCAATTTTTCTTTGTATAGTGCACCTTGTGTGAAAAATGCTGCGGGGAAGCCACTCCAATTTTTTGTCTATAGTAGTGCCCAATACTTGCGTACAATTAGTAGTTCCCTGTCATTGGCCTATACTAAGCGCTTATTCTCATCGTGAGGTGTTTTTCCTTCTTCTTTTTTAGTCTGAAGTGGAACTTGTTTAATTAAGGATATTGAGACAATTGGGGAAATTTGAAGCAATGTGCCCAAAGCATAAGAACCCAAAATATTTTAATGGGTTTTTGGTGTTGAACGTGCTTGCTTTTCTACTTTTCATGGCTTGAGATTTATCGGGAAGAGAAATTTTAGATGGGATTCATCTTTCACGAGTTCCATTTGCAAATTTAATGGATTCTTGTCCTGTGATTGAAGAAAAAATTTTAGCGGATGGTTGTTTTCATTTTTATCATATTAGAAAAATTGAAGTTAGAGAGACTTTAAAAAATGAAGTGTAAAAAATGTTGGACTTGATGATACTCCAATGGAGATGTGAAATTACTTAGGAGTAAAGGAATTTCTTGACTTACGGAACTTTTCAATATTATTTTGAAGGCTAAGAAGATACTAGATGAGTGGAGAAGGAGTGTGTTAATTCTTATTTTTAAGAATAAAGGTGATGCACATGAGTGTGCGAATTATAGAGGAATTATGTTAATGTGTTATACATAAAAATTATGGGAGAGAATTATTGAGCATAGGTTATGACGTGATACTAATATTTCTCAAAATTAATTTGGATTCATGTCGGGTAGGTTTACTATGGAAGCTATACATTTATTAGAAGATTTGATGGAGAAGTATAGAGAGAATAAGGAGGATCTACATATGATATTTATTGAGTTAGAGAAAACATATGATAAAGCTTCAAGAGAAGTGCTCAGGAGAGTTCTAAAAAAGCAACAAGTTAATAATGCTTATATTAAGCAATTAAGAATATGTATGTAGGAGCTATTACTATGTTCAAATACAAGCTGGTTTGACTAAGTATTTTTCTATTTGAATTGGATTACATTAATGATCAACTTTAAGCTCTTATTTTTTTGCTTTAATTATCGATGTTTTTACTAGACATTTGCAAGAGGATGTACTCTGGTGTATGCTTTTTGTAGATGATAATCTTTGGGAGTTGAAGGAAAACTTGAATTATGGAGGTCAACCTTCGAGTTTAAAAACTTTCGTTTGAGTAGATCTAAAACCGAATACTTGGATTGTAATTTTTGTAGTAATAGATCTAGTGGGTGGATTGTGACTTTGGACGATCAAGTCATCCTGTACACATTTTAAATATCTTGTCTTTTGTTCAAAATGATGGTGAAATATATGGGTATATTATTAGTAGATTTATATGAGAATTTAACTTTTAATAGAGCACAATGGAGATAAATGAGTAACTTAGCTAACCTCATGTAGTGGGATAAAGGCTTGATGTTGGTTGTTTTTGTTAAACTCTTAGAGCCAATTTAGTGACATTAAAAGACTTATAATATTGTTGTAACGACAAAGCACTAAAGAAACGTGCAATTTTATGTTAATTAAGCTCAATTACATCACATTTTGAAAATAGTTGTTGAAATTCAAACAAATAATCTTCTACGGAAGAAGCCCCTTTATTGAAAAATACGGGGTTCAAGTAAAGCATCTTGCTGAAATTGTGAAGGCATGTCTTTATTGTAACTTTTTTTTCATTTTTATACCAAGCGACCATTTTGCTTTTGCATTCCCTAGCCTTAGTCCTTCTAATGTTTTCCTATCAAATGGAAGCGTTCTTTTTTAGATTAATGGCCTCCAACTTAAGCTGTCTATATTTTGGTACTTCTTTATAATTAAAGGTATGTTCTACATTATGAAACCAATTAATAATTAAGTGGATTCAACCCACCCTCAAAATCCGAACTATCCACCCTCACCCCATGTCTTGGTGTACCTCCTTTTGGTTCCTTTCTTGGAATCTGATTAGGTTTTTCTTCTTCTGATGCTTCTCGAAAAGCTTGATGAAAGGATTCTGCATCTCAAGTTTCTTGTGATTGTTATTGGAGTGGAAAGAACATGCCTCGTGTTCCCATCTATGACAAATCTCTCAAGACTTTGTTGCAGTTGTTGGAATTCTCTTTGCAGTTATTCCATGGTTATTTCTTGGGTCAGACATTGGTGATGACTCCTAGATGGCATCCTAACCTAGAGCTCTAATATCATTTGACACTGAAAAGGAGTGTGATAAAATTGTCTGGAATCTTACATGATCAGAAAACTACAAGAAATCTATAAAACTATTTGCTGATAACTGAAAACTGAGAAAGAAACAGGAATTACAATACTTTGTTTCTTGCGTCCCAATCGATTCTTGTGCAATTGTGAAGAATTCTATACAAAGAATGAGTATTAGCGCCAAATAAAGCTGATGTACACTCTTAGATTTTGGCAATTTCTTCCACCACGGTCGCTTGCAGGAACTGAGGAACCTTCAAGTTTCTGATTACAATGGGATGTCCATCCAGATTTCTGAAGGTTTAAGAGGTCAAAGAAATCTGCTGGAGAAGTCCAGCAGTCCTGTAAATAATTCTAAGGAGAAATAGGTAGTTAATTTTTCAATAGTAAGACAACAGTTAACTATCAATTAAAAAACAGAGAAACTTATGCTGAGTAATTCTTGCTTCAAGAAGATGGTGGAACTTGCCTACACGAAGTTGCTCATGCAACTTGAAACCTTTCTTTAGACCGATAGAACGTTGAGCTAAATTCAACGGTGCTAGGATGCTAATCATTTTCTTCATTTAGCTCCATCCATGACTTCCCCACTTGATTGCTAATGACTCCCTTCAATCCCTGCTTGTGGAAAAGCCCACCCAAGATTTGCTGGAACTTTTCCACTCAGTTGAAACTTGATTCTGCGCTTAGTACAAATCAACAAGCCTGTGTGGTACTCATTTTTTCTGCTCTTGTTTGAGTGGAGTTGTTACTTTCCCACGGAAAGACCACAATTACAGCCACCCAGTCACTCTGAACTTCCAGCCAGCAGTCCTATATGCCCACCGGGATTTTTCTTCTAAAATTGCGGGACCTCCATGAACCTGCAGGGAAACAGAGAAAAAAATCACAAATACACCTAATTGTTAATGCAGATTACCTCTAATTCTGGAAAGACGGCAGTCATTGTTTGTAACTGGATGCTATTCTTGCTGAAATTTTACCTTGTTGCTGCTGCCAGAAGACTTATTGTTGCGAGAAACTGTAGAAATTACCTTAGACAGCCACTGGAATGTTGGCGTTGATTGCATTAGAGTCCTAGACAACACTAAGAAAGCCTTTCTTATTCACCTTTCCAAACAGGGAATTCTCTACAAAATCAAGGTGTTTAATTAGGCTACCCCCCGTTAAAGATTATAAAACACCTATTTATAAATGTTCCTCTTAAAAGAGTGCAAAAATTACATGTCCTAATAAAGAAAGGTAATCATAAAAAGTGCCCTTCAGAATAATTGCTATTATAACTATGGCTATTGTTGTTGGTTTTATAACATTTTATTATCATGAAGAACCTCAATCAATCTTTCTTGGAATTTTCATGAGTTAATATTACTCATTAATCAGTTTTTCGTAATCAATATCAAGTTTCATTCATAGAATAGGTTCAGTATACATAAATCTATCAAATCTAGGTGTCTAGTTTCTTTTGCTGTAACCATTGACTGATCATTGTTTATTACATGTCTTTTTCAAAATTACATAATCGTTTTCAAATAAGTGTTTACCATTTGAAAATTATACCATCAATATATGAAAAGCATTCTGTTTGTGTGTATTTCTTTAAAAGATTAAGATATATTGCCAAATTAGTGATATTATCTTTTGGATTTTTAATCTTTTGATCTGCTTAGTGTTGCTCAAATTATACTCCATGGAGCTTAGTGCTTATAGGTTGCAATATGCAGATCAACTCATCAAAGAAGAAGACTGGTGTTATTGCTCCCAAGCGGTTTGTACAAAGAGTGAAGAAACAAAATGAGCTTTTTCGAAGCTATATGCATCAGGTAATCATTCGTGAAATTGTCTGAATCCATTCACTTTAATGTCAGAAAGAAATTATTGGCATCAAATTAATCATTGGGCTTTTCAATATAAATTCAGATTATTGTTAGATTTTTTCAATATTTATGCCATGAATGTTATTTTCAATCTGTTTGCAGTTTTCCAAAAATAACTGCTGCATCAAGGACTAATGTTTCGCAGCTGTTAATGATGTTTTCTGCTTTGAATCCTATCCTTTGTGGCTTCCATCAGTTGTTTCATGTGAATTTATGTTGACTATATTGATTTAGTCGTAAGTGTGGGATGTTATAAGCAGATGTAATTAATTTTTTAACCCGATATTGAAGTGTTTCCATTAACTTTTGAATCAGTTGTACACATTTAAGTCATGAAAACATCTTGAACCAGTTTATGCGAAATATTAGTACTTATTGACCATTTTTTAAGTCATTGTAATAGGAGTATAAGGATCCGTTGAATTCAAAATTGTTCATGAACAACACCAAACATACACAGTGTTGTATGAAAAAAGAGTTTAGAAATAGAGGGAGAAAGAAAAAATTCTATTGTGAGAAGCTCTGACCTCTGAGATTTTATTATAACAAGCTTGAGCTCTAAAATTGTGTAACTGGAGTTTATCACTTTGACTCCTATTTATAGATTTGGGTAAGGGGTTGAATGTTATAAAATTGGCCACATGTATGGCTATACAAAAAAATAAGAAAAAAATACAAAAGTTGTGTAGCTTAATTTCTCTTTATATACATTAGCCTATAATTTAATATATTCAGACTATGAAGTCATTATAATATGCAACTTAAGGTCGACGGCTCAGCTAGTAAGAAATTGCTAACTTGGTGTGCTTAAGTGGATGAGTTGATGATTATGGTCTCTCATATGGAGGAAATTATCCATTTGATGAGTCGTTGATGCTAACTTGATAAGTCACACCCGCTTATATGGGATGAGTTCATTTGCTGACTTGGCAAGTTATTCTTGAGCTGAGACTGAGTTGACTTAGATTGAACTTGGCCGACTTGGCTTGAATTGAGTTGAGTTGGCTTGAATCAAGCTGACTTGGCTTAAATGTGGTTCTAGAATAATTGGTTGTACATTTAGTTTCCTGATTCTCTTATATCTTTGGAGATTTATCATAAAAAGAAAAATACAATTAAATGATATTTTATATTTCATAATTGAATCATCCTTTATTGATTATGCATAAAACTCCATAAATACATATTTTATGTTTAATATTTTCCAATAAAAATTTATTGGGTTGACCATTTGCAAAGGCAAGACATTGACTTTTACTTTGAGGAAGTATTCTCAAGATATTCTTAGTGTGACTTCGAATACACCAAGGGAGTTGTTTGAAGTAGCTCTTTTGAAGAAAGTTAAGATTTTTCTTCTAAAGTCAGCTTGTTGAAATCATCAGTTTTCTTAATTTCTTCCTTGAAGGATGAGTAAGAAATGAAAAAGTTAGATTTTATAAAATAGCTTTTCAAGATGAAGACATCATTTGCCAAAGATACCGAATCTTTTTGCCAAGAAGTTGCTTCTTTTAAAGCTGAGTTTGTTATTAGTCGAAAATGTATGGAATTCATTAAGTCATATCAATTCTCGACTAATGGTGAGTTTGTGTTAAAGCGACTTATTGATAATGGAAAGATATCTAAAAACAAAACCTCCTTGATGTTTTATTTATTCCCAAATTCTTGTGAATTTGATAGCCATTTAATGTCTTTCTAAAATTGTATTGCTTTAGAACCTTTTATCCATCTCATTATGTTTTTCAATATCTTAGTACAAGAAAAGATGATTAGATTGGTGTACCCAAAAGTCTCTTATGCCTTCTCTTGCACCAGAACTCCATATTAAAGGTATTGTCCTTTGGGCCATATTCCACCATAAAGACTTATAGAGTTTGTTCCCGTCTCCTTGGCACTTATATTTTTTAATGTAATTCTATGTGCTTGGTAAACATCATAGGATGATTTTCCACCACCTGCCAGATGAGCCATTTTGAGCTAGTTCATGTTGATATTTAGAGTCTAAGTTATGTCCTTGACCACAAATGATTTAAGTACTTTGCTACTCTTGTTTATGATCATTCAATAGTCATATGTGCATATTTGTTCAATTGCATATATGAAGTCTGATATTAGCAAATTATATCATAAATGAAAAGTTCATTTTTCTACTATGATTAAAATTTTTTGTATTGATAATTCCTTGGAGTTCATGCAGACTTAGTTTAGATCATTTTGTGTTGACAATGGACTTATTCATCAGACTTCATGTTGTTAAACATCTCAATAGAATATTGTTTCTAAATATAAGCTTCATCTTTGGCTTGATGCAGTCTAGACTTTGATGTTCGATATGAATGTTCCTTATCAGTTATGGGGTGAAAATTTTGATTGCATGCTCTCTTATTAATCATATCCTATTTACTGTTCTTGGTGATCTCAGCATTCTCTATTACAGGCTCCTTTTACTCCAAGACTTTTTTGTTATGTTTGCTTTGTTCATTATGTTTTGGACCACCGATTAACTCTCTTTTATACATTTGGTGTATCATTCTAGGCTACTCTCATTCTCATAAAGTTATCATTGTAATGACCCAGTTATCAGACGCGTACATACTTCAGTAGATATTAATCTTCATGATTAGTCTCCCTATTTTCTCCATCTTATTCCAAACAATCCTCTTTACATATCCTATTCCCTCAAAAGTTCTATACCTATTGCAATACCTCTACATCTACATGTGTAAACATGATGGCCTCCTCCTCTTGTTGCTGCAATACAACCATCCATATTGTCTGACTCAACTGACCACGACATTTTGTAGAATTCTCAGATTTTCATATGCCTATTGGCAAAAATATAAATGAGAGTATATTGATATTCCTATATTTTTTTATCACCTTTATTTACATTTGATGTATTATCTTGCCTCTGCCAACAATTACTATTCCCTAAATATACAAGAGGAATTACAACATTTTTGGTGCAAACGAGCTATGGATATTGAATTACTTCTTCATTGAATCAGCATTGGAATATGGTTATACCTCCTTGGATTAAAACGGTTTCATATTGTTGGGTTTATTCTATCAAATCCATCTTGATGGCTCTATTGATAGATACAAGACATGTTTATTATAAAGGTTTTACTTAAGTCTATATGATCAAATTTTGACGCTTCAATTTTTATGCTCATAGCCATGTAGGTTCATTTGTATGATTCCATCAATAAAGGTTAACATTTGCTATAGATTGATCTGAGTAGTGCTTTTTTACGGCGATCTCATTGAAGCCATTTATATGAAACAACCTTTAGGGTATGCTGTTTAGGGTAAGACAATAGTATATAGCTCAACAAGCCCTTCTATGAGTTAAAGAAATGTCCTTGGGTTTGGCTTGATAAATTTTACTTAATTCTTATTGGCGTTGGTATTTGCAACAACCCATCAAATTACTTTATCTTCATTTGATACACTTCATTTGGCTTTAATATTTTATTGGCCCATATAGATGGCATTCTGCTAATTCGGAGTGGTCCGAAAGGCTATTGAAGTAAATCGCTATTGATAAATATATTTTATAATTAAAAATCTTGGTCAACCCAAAGACTATGGGAATAGTGTTTTCTTACAACAAATAAAAAAATTAGTCTCAAAGAAAATATATTGTTAATCTCCTTGAGAAAATTAGGCTTTTATGCTGCGAACTGGATGGCACTCCCATGGACATTTAGGTTGTTGTCAGCAATGAGGAAATTTAGATGCCTCTCATTATTGCATAATGTTGTCAATAATTGGAAAATTTTGTTGGACGCCTCTCATTATTAGAGGTTGATTAGTAAATTGATCTATATTATTGTCGCTAGATTATATTTTTCCTTTGATATAAGAATTATGAGCCAACACATGCAAACTCTAAATAGAAACATTGAAATTGTTTTGCGTATCCTTAGATATATCAAAAACTCACTAGAGAAATTATTACAATACAGTAAGAAATTTTCATGTGTAAAATATTTTTTATTTTGACTGTGTTGGATCAGTTTATGATCTAAAGTCAACATTTGTGTGTTGTATGTTTATGGGAGATAATTTGGTCATATGAAAAAATAAGAAGCAGGTATGGTGTCTAGATTAACTGCTGAGGAATAATACAAAACCCTGAAATAAGTCACATATGAAGTAATGTGAGATTAAGACCCACATGGGAGATTTGATTTTTCTATTGCACAACCTATGATAAAAAAACTATAGTGGATATTGCCATCTATATTGTTAATAATCCCATGATCCATGGAATAACAACATATTGAAGTTGACTGTTACTTCATTTAAGATGCAATTCTTTTATAAAAAATTTGTCACTCTTATTTTCAACTTAGAATAGATGGCTGATAGATGTTTAAGGTTTTGGGTCTACTTTAGTTTTTCAAGTTATTTAACAAGTTTGAGTTAATTAATATATTTGGGAAAATGATTAAAATGGTTCATTGACTCTTTATGAAGGAGCAAAATAGTCCTCAACTATATTAAAGGACCATTTTGACCTTTCAACTCTTTAAAAAGGAACCTAAATAGTCCCACCATGAGATTATTTTGGTTCCTTTTTAAAGACTTGAGAGACCAAAATGGTCCTTTAATATAATTTGGGATCAATTTGATCATTCATAAAGAGTCAAGGGACTATTTGGTCATTTTCTCTAATATATTTACTCTAGTTAAAGACAGTGTTAAGATTGTAAGCATTGTTTTAGGAACTTATCTATATATAATTAATAGAGTATATTTATTTTATTGTGCCTTAGCATATTGTATTGATTTTTCTATTTAATAGAGTGGTTCCTATTTGAATAATAACATAGAAATCTCTCTCCTCTCAAGAAGTAAATATCATAGCCCATGTTTCCTATTATATTAGTGGGTGAAGATGAATATATGACTTCTTTGCAAATTAGCCATTTGGAAATTGATGTTAAAGGAATTCATTAGTAGCTTAAGCCTATCTTTGGAGTTTTGACCATCATTCTAGATTGGAAGATCCCGTCACTTATGTGTTAAGTGTAGAACTAGACAGAGTCTTCATGGGTCCTTTGGTGGCCCTCTTTCACTTAAAGAGCCTTCTTCCATGTGTTTTATGCGGATTAATTTGAAGATCATATGTTCATTATTACTTTTGACACCAGGACGTGCATCCAATTATGATTAGTTTAGTAGTTAACAATAGGTTGTTTAGCAGAATAATTAGCTTGAGATGCCATTGTATTCTTTAAATATCCCATTTGGGGAGAAGGTTGAGATATGAGAAATGGATGAATAAGTTTCCCCTTTCCAATCTAGTTTCTGTTTTCTTCTTATTTTGGGAGTTTGAGCAACTTAAACTGTTCCAGATGAGATCAAGATTTCATCAACGATGCTTTTGCGGAGAAAAAATGCTATACAGAACATGTTCCTCAGCAACTTGACGATAATGCAACTTCATTGCTCATGATATCTCAAATGTTGCTTGGTGCATCTACTCTTGAGATCTGATTTGCAATGCTTTAAAACCCCATCTTGACCCGCTTTTTCCATCCGTGTCATATATATTTGATTCAATGACTTCCGCATGATCGAGTCTCCACTTCAGGCAAAACCGCAAGCAACTTCATTTTCCCCGAACTGGTTGCCTTAAAATCTGACGTCAAGATCACTTTATCATTCTAAGCTTTCTTCTTGTAGTTACGAATCCTAGTTCCCTGTCAATAGATCCTCTTTTTTTTTTTGAATTATCAACTCAAGGTCGTGCTAGATAGGCCAAGCATCGCTTGATCTGCCAAACACTGGAATATGGTAGTGATTCCTTGCACGGGTCAATTCTACCTGTCCAGAGTTAACATCGTTCAACAATTCCACCTCCATAACACTTTTGCATTCTCGTACAGAAAACTCCATCCCAGCCACATTGCCGATCACATCTTAATCATGTCCTCTACCTTTCCTAGGTTCCATCTCGTCTGCACCAAGCTCTTTGTGCACAAATCGCCATCTTCCATGTAATGAACATGCCTCTTCCAAATTCATCGACAACCCCAGTGACCGCCACTGTTCATGAATCTATGCTAGGTCTCTGTCCACTCCATCGGAGACTTTGTTAAAGTCGTATGATTCTGTCATCCCATTACCACAACTCATCGGTTTGTCAAGATCCCACCCTCATTTCCACCATTTGTTGTTCCAACTCCGCTGATTCTATCCATATTCTTCAATGCCTATGCAACTCCACAATTACTTGATGTTCTTAGTATTCTTTTGAGTTGTAAACAGTTTTTTCTAATGGAGATTGAAAATTGTATAATTGAATATTGTTTTGCAAGAATTGATTGGTTGGATGAAAATGTAGTGTCAAACATTCTTATCTTGAAGGAAATTAGCTTGCAATTAGCGAATATTGAGAAATGTCTTGGATTACCAGTTCAAGATAAATTTTTCGAAGCACCATCAATTTTTTGCTGATAATTCTGGCTTCAGAAGAAAATTTTGAATTGGTCACTTCCACTATCAATGAAATCATGCAAACAAATGACATGATGCAGCACATCATACCTTTTTTTTTGGTGAAGTTTAAAAAACAAATCCAACGACAAATGTTTCATTTATTGATGAAGTCTCAAAGACATTTTTGGAAGTCAAAGTACCTAATACGGTCATTGATTGTGCTTGAATGGATGGCCACCGCCTGCCTTAGATCAACTTGGAAGTTGAACCTTGAGGGCAAGATCGTATTGAGAGGAGGGGTAATGTTCTGAATCCCATTTTATTTAGTTTAGCAGTTAACAATGGGTTGATTAATAGATTAATTAGCTTGAGATGCCAACATGTTCTATAAATTTTTCATTGAGGGAGAAGGATGAGATATGGAAAATAAATGAATAAGTTCCCCTTTCTTCAATCTTGTTTCTCATTTCTTCTTATTTTGGGACTTTGAGCAACTTGAAATGTTCAAGATGAGATGAGGATCTCACCAAACTAATTCCCTTTTTACTGCGATATTAATTCAGAATGCTAGTAAATCAGCTTAAATAGCCTTCATCCAAAAGTGTCTCATGATGTTATTTTAGATGCTTTATGGATTTTAGCTTATAGTCTCATAGGTCTGTGACATTAGGGGAACTGATCCATCTTTTTACCTTCGTGATCTAGGATGCTCATGAATTTTTGAATTTTCTGCTAAATGAGCTTGTTGACATTTTGGAGAAAGAAGCTAATGCAAAGGATTCCCCCGGAACCTCCTCACAATCAGAAAAGATAGCAAATGGCTCAAGTCATCTTCATGTGAATGGTGTTCAAAAAGAACCCCATATAACATGGATTCATAAAAGTTTTCAGGTGAATAAAGTTACAGATCTTAGCAGTATACTGTTGTTTTTTGGAGAGATTATTCTGTGCGGACATCGGACACAGCTTACCGTCCAGAGACAAATCAGGTGCAGCCACATCATCCAGTACCTAGCAGTACCAAGCCACGGTACCGAGTAGGGGGTGACGTAGCGCATTTTTATTGGGCTCTGAACGACGTTCGGTGTCCGCACAGAATAATGTCATCCTTTTTTTACATTAGTATCTATGGATTGTGAGATAGTTTTCTACTGTCTTCTGAGAGTTACCTTCTTCTTAACTATTACATGCAGGGTTTATTGACCAATGAAACTCGCTGCCTAAGGTGTGAAACTGTCACTGCAAGGGATGAGACGTTTTTTGATTTAAGCGTGGACATTGAGCAAAATAGTTCCATTACAAGTTGTCTCAAAAACTTCAGTTCAACAGAGACTTTGAATGCTGAGGATAAATTCTTCTGTGACAAATGCTGCAGGTTATTTATCTGGCTCTTTTTTGGCTTTTTTGTGTTATTTTAAAGTGTTTCTCTGGCAGGTTATCATTGATGCATTTTGAGCCCCTCACATGCAGTTGTATGCATTTTGAGTGTTATAAAGCTCATAAATGAAAGCAGCTACTAGAATTTTTTTTTTTTTTTTAAAATTTAAATGCAACGCAACAATAACTGTGCTGCTTAGAAATTTCATACAAATGTTTAGTATAGTTCTGTGGAGTCCTAACATATTTTTGATGCAAAAACTAGGTTCTTATGTTAAGGGGTATCTTCATAACCTCTCTTGCCTTCAAAACTTGGATTAGCCAAGAGTTCAGTGAATAGGCCGTACTCTTCATATTCAAAGCAAACTGACACCTTTTTCTTGTTTGTAAGCTCCTTGGCTGGGCAAATTATTCTGTGCGGAGACCGCACGCAAGCTTACGTTCGGATTTGTTGCGCTTTTGTTGCATTTTTACTGCGCTTTTGCTGCGTTTTTGCAAAAGGTCAGCTAATATACAATTTTAATTGCATATTAGCTTCCGTTTTGCAAAAATACAGCAAAAGCGCAATAAAAATGCAACAAATATCTTACTAATTGAGTATTTGCTGCGCTTTTGCAAATACTCAACAAAAGGGCAACTAATACGCAATTAAAGTTTTATATTAGTTGTCTTTTGTAAAAATACAGCAAAAGCACAATAAATCCGAACGTAAACTTGCGTGCGGTCTCTGCACAGAATAATTTGCCCCTTGTTGGTTGATCAATTACGAGTATATTATATTTGTCTAACCCGCTTCTTTTCTGACACAGCCTGCAGGAAGCCCAGAAAAGAATGAAAATAAAGAAACCTCCTAACGTCCTAGTTATCCATCTCAAGCGCTTCAAATACATTGAACAACTTGGCCGGTACAAGAAGCTATCTTACCGTGTCGTGTTTCCCCTTGAGTTGAAGCTCAGCAACACACTTGAAAACGCTGATGCAGAGTATTCTCTTTTTGCTGTTGTTGTTCATGTTGGCAGTGGGCCCAACCATGGTCACTACATTAGCCTTGTTAAAAGTCACAGTCATTGGCTGCTATTTGATGATGAAAATGTCGATATATTTGATGAGTCTGCTGTGCAAACATTCTTTGGCTCGGCACAGGAGTACTCCAGCAACACAGATCATGGGTACATTCTATTCTATGAGAATCTTGGTGGTAGGAGCTAGTGGTCTTTTAGGCTTCGTTTGGGATGGCTTTTTTACTACTTCTTAAAGCAGCTTTTTAGTACAAAAAATTTAATTTTTGTACTTAAAAATTATTTTTAAAAGCAGGAAAAAAGCTGTCGCAAACGAAGCCTCGGTATCTCTTTTTTTGCCGTTTACCTACATGTAAATTCAAAACCTGCAAGGCCAGATGTGAATGGATATGATACCTGAATTGGATTCACTGTATAGCAGATGGTAGTAACATGCCATATTTGTCAATAACACAGAATGTACGTGAGTTGATTTCAGGGTAGAGAAATTTTCTTGTGTACTCTTCTCTTATTAATATTTAAAATAGAATAGTTTTCTTTTATAAACTTTCAGAGTATGAAACAAGATTAACGAGAGCATTTCAAATCTTGCTATCATTTATATGGGTTGGTTTCACATGGGCAATTATCTTGTCTCTACTATTACTTATTTAAGTGATCTAATTAAATGCTTGATTTTGATTGAATACATGTGGTGTAGTTTTTAGAATTTAAAACTTAGGTTTGCGATACTAGTTCTAGTCAAAGATGGATTTGGGATTGAACACATTGGTTCTTCTCTCTGAAAGCAGGCTTATTATCCCAATAATGATTAAGCAGCTTTTCTTCTTGATGTTGCTTTTAGGTTTATGCTGAAAATAGTTTTACATCTGTCTTGGTTAGGGGTGTGAATGAGTCAAGTCGACTTACGAGCTGGCTCGAGCTTGACTCATTTACGAGCTCATGAGTCGAATTTATCGAGTTTCGAGCTTGAGCTCAAGCAGAATTTTGAGCTCATTGGATTATCAAGCTCGAGCTCATTACAGATAATCAGCTCGATTACTCGTCGAGTGGCTCAAAAAAGCGGAAGGTGGATTGCCGAAGCATGCAAGTGCAAACTGCAGAAGTTGAAGCTAGTGCGAACAACGGAAGGCGAAGCATTTGTCAGCAAGCAGGCGTTTGCACGCTCAAACTGTGGAATCAAACTGCTCGATAAGTTTGTTTTTAGGGGCATAAGTTGATCTCTAGCTCGGCTCAAGTTCGAGCTCGAATTAAATCTAACTTGGGCTCGACTAGACTCGTTTGTATCCCTAGTCCCAACTAAGCTTGAAATTGTTGTACCACATTTAGCATAACCCTCTTTGTAACGGGGAGTTTCACAAATTCATTTACTCTTCCATCCAAAATATTGGATTTTTTCTTAAAGGTTATTAGGAGTATTATATAATTTTTTGTTTTTTTTGACTGCCGAGCAATAATTTTTTTTATAGCCATAACATTCAATAGATTACAAAAGAAAAAGAAAAAAAAACTTATAAATTTCTTAAAAATTAAATTGTAACCAAATAAAAGTATGATAATTATTTTAAAAATAAAACTATGACAAAAATTGCCCATAATAAAATCTCAATTATCAATAAGTCATTATTGTTGGTCATCTCAATAAGTCATGTGTAGCAGCAGTATACAATATTCCAGACTTTGTTTGTCCTTTTGCAAGCCAATAGAGTGATCACCTTCCATCTAAATTTAAAGCTTTAAATATGTAATAATGAAACCCCAATAGGTCAAGTAGGCCAGAGATATCCAAAGAACGCAATACTGAAGGCCTTCTAATACCATCTCCAACCAAAAAATTCGTTTTCCTTTCTAAAATTTAGTAACATTTCAAAATACAGTAATTCATCTTCAATTAAAATCTATTTCTTAACACACAAAAAAAAAAAAAAATAGTCAGTATATAATCTTCTCAATCAAACTCCACACGCGCTAGCCCTTCTCCGCCTCTGCTTTCTCTTTTTCCACCAAAAATGTGTTCGTGAACAGTGCGATGCCAACTGTTCACAAACACGAGAATAGATCGTATTTTATCATTCGATTTGAGCAGCTCACTGACGTCAAACACGAATATGGAGTTGGGTAGGAGATGACCTTGAACTATATTGGTCCAGCAGTCCAGAGCTGGTTGATAGTGAATAGCAAGATAATAAAATAATATTGTAAATAAATTCGTGTATGATTTTTTTTTTTTTCCTATAGGTGCAAGCACTTACATAAATTTGTGTATGATATAAACTAGTTTTATTGCATTTTAGGTAAAAGATATTTAATCTTAGAAGTAATTTATTTTATTTTAGTCATATCAGTGTTACACAATTAGTAATTATTTATTTTATTTTCAAGTACTTTATTTTCAATATTTTGTTTGCTAATATGATTATTCATTAAACATCATTATTGCCCTTTTCAAACAATTTCAAAGAATATTCCCATTCATATGAATATTTAAATATTAAATATATAAATGTAATGATATTGTTAATACAATTTAAATTAAAATATTATATAAATATAAATTAAATTTCAAAGAAGTAATCAGATTGTTGCAATTTTTTTTTTTTGAAATAATCTAACATAATATCTCTCATATTTTTGTAGTTGAGAGCCCTAATAAAAATATTGACGATTTTCAATGCAGAGAAATTATTCTGTGCGGACATCGAATGGAGAGAACTGTTCGGTTTTGTCTCTGTGAACGGTAAAAGCGCATTAGTGAATAGTAAAAGCACAATCCACTAGGCTTTTACTGTCCACAAAGACAAATTAGACGGTTCTCTCTGTCAAATATCCACACAGAATAATTTCTCCGTATTGTACGCAATGAAATGGTCACATGAGATGAGTACAACAAAATATGTACTCATTTTTACATAGAGGATAACCTTGTTGTACTCTTTTTTTTTTCCAAAAAAAAAAAAGTACAACAATGATACCACATTGATTGCGAATTAATTGTAACAAACTATTCTTTTAATTAACACCCCCTTTTTAAAAAATCATATTAAAAAAAATCTCCAATCTTGAAATACCTTTAACACTAATAATTATTTTAAGGTTCTCTGAAAGGACATAGCATTTGGAATTTATCTGTTTTTTTTAAGAAGGAAGTGTGTAAGCCAAAGTGTTTTGGGGTTTTAGGTCTTTCAGATCTTAATGCCCATACAATTGTTCTTTAATTTGGAGGATTTTAAAATGGCATTATCTTCTATCTGATTGGGTTAAGCATAAATACACTTCTTTATGAAAACCTCCCTTGCATAAGGCTTCTGTTATAGGAAATTTTTATGTTATATTGCAAGGAATATTAAGTATAATATTTCATTTTAATATTAATTCTAACAACACCCTTTTCTTCTATTAGGACCCTTGGTGTGGAGGTAAGACTTTACATGATACTTATATTAGTATTTGCTCTTCTTGGCATTTAGTTCCTATAAAGGATTTTATTAGTAATGACAATTGATCTATGCCAGACAATTTACATGCCTTGGTTTCCTCTACTATTTCTCAAATTCCTATACATGACTCTGGTTCATGTATTGCCTTGAATGAGATGCTTTCTCTTTCTTTTTAGAAGTTTCATATGCCTTTTTATAATAGATTTTTTTTAGGTAGAATGTTATTCATATATTTAGTGCTTATGTATGCTTTAATTTTTCTTATGCGTAAATGACTTTGCTCAAGGGTTTAAAAACTATTGATATTCTTTTTAAAATAATTTTTTTGGGGGTAAATCTGAAGAAACATATAATCATTTTTTTAAAATTATTTCAGAATTAATTCCTAATTTGAAGTACTTATTAAGACCTACTCTTATTCAAGTTTATGACTTTATCTGCATTAGATTTGGCTAAAGCTTCGTTTGGGACGATTTTTTTATTGCTTTCTAAAACAGAATTTTAGTATAATTTTTTTTTATTTTTGTATTAAAATTACATTTTAAAAAGTAATAAAAAACACGTCGCAAACAAAGCTAAGACTGCTAAAAGCTTGCTTTTGCTTGCTTATTCCCGACGTGACTAATATTTATTCGGGGCAGTTAACCGTTTGTCCCGATGACAGAGACCCCGCCGGGACAGGCAGGTAAGCAGCTTTGAAGAGAAAGGAAAGCGACTCTTCTCAACCCTAATGGGAAGAAACATGCACCCGCAAGCTTTTAGCGCTCTATTCGCGCCCTTCGCTATTTTGATGTCTACCTGGGTCAACTGATTCTTGTGCTAGGGTTGCGGGTTAAGGTTCCGACGGGGTGACATGGACAATGATGCGGCGCTCCGCACCTCCTTGGTGGCGCTTGCGGCGCTAATGGCAGTGGTCGGTCTTTGTTCCTTCTCGCTGAAGAAGGTGCTTGCTACCTACGCTTATGGCATCCTCGGCATCGCCGTTCTGTTGTTGCCAGATTGGGAGTTTTTTGATCGAGATTTCTCCCAGTGGTTCACTCCCATGACAGTGCCTCCAGGGCCCGGCGCAAATCGGATTGTTAGGTCCGGAGCCGGAAGGTTTGATTTCAATCTTCAACATCACTTCTTTTCTATTAAAGTTTTGGACTTTTCTGTACCATTTTAAAAAGTAGTTTTCTATATCTTTGGCTTGCCCTCTGCTGTTAAGAATAATTGGAACGATCGGAGCCTTCATGCATTCAACTTGTGAGTTGATTTGAGCTCCATTCTGAGCTCAAAATCTGATTCACTTTGATTTTAAGTTTATCCCCTTCTATATTATACATTCATCTAAAATAAGGGTCTATGTTTATTTACAAAACTCTTGCATGGTATATTGTTATCATCGTATATCTAGGGATTCATTAAGGATATGTATACAAGAGCTATTAATTGTGTTCAAGCGCAAGGTGATTTGACCTAGTATTTTCCTATTTCAGTTGGATTAAATCAAGAATCAGTTTTAAGCCCATATCTTTTTTGCTTTAGTCATGGATGTTCTTACTGGACAATTGCAAGAGGATGCACCATGGTGTATGTTTTTTGTTAATTATATTCTTCTTGTTGATAAGACTTGAGAGGGAATTTTTGGAAAACTTGAAAAATGGAGGTCAACCTTAGAGTCTAAATATATATTTTTTTTAATATATCTAAAACCAAATACATTGAGCATAGTTTTAGTAGTAATAGATCTAGTGGGGGGATTATGACTTTGGGCCAACAAGTCATTAAAAAGAATACGCATTTTAGATATCTTGGATCTATTATTCAAAATGATGGTGAAATAGATGAGGATATTATTAGTAGAATTCAAGTTGGATGGTTGAAGTGGAAGAATGCATTTGACCTGTTGAGTGATAGAAATGTACCCTTCAAACTTAAGGGAAAATTCTATATGATGGTGAAACTTGTAATGCTTTATGGTACAGAATGTTGGTCATTAAAAGAGAAGCAAAAAATTAAGTTAAGTGCTACAGAGATGACGATGCTTAGATTGATGAGTACCTTTTACACTTAGAGACAAAATGCAAAATGAGTATATATGTGACAAGATTGGAGTAGCTCCAGTAGCAGTTAAGATTATAGAGAATCGCCTTAGATGGTTTAGTCACATAAAACATTAGCTTTCCGATGTACCGACTAGGAGTTTAGATGTATTAGATGCAGCCTATATTAACAAAGGTAGAGGTAGACCTAAAAAGAATTGTTTATAAATATTAGAAATGACTTTTTTTTATTAGATTTAAACGAAAATTATGAGAAAAAAGATTCATTTAGTTTGCCACATGCAATAGTGGGATAAAGGTTGATGTTGTTATTGTTATTATAGAGTATCTAGGGATTTAACCCAAATCATCCAAATTTGCATATGGTATTTCAGTTTGTTGTGCCTCCAAGGATTGGATACCATGATATGAAAAGTATCCTGGGCAGTTTACTTTTGTAACTCATAATAGGGAGGAGTTTATATATTATTGAAGAAATTATGTTCCATGAGTCCATACAAAATTTGGTCTTCTCATTTGAAACCTTTATCATGGGATCTATGGTCGAAAAGGTTTGGTCATGGTATTCATATGGTTTTTAATTCCCATTCCACACAATGATTTTTCAATTTGACATTTATTAAGACCTTTGGTCAATTTTCATTCAAAACTTGTTTTGAATATATAAATTATAAAGAAACAATATTCATATTCTTGTATTATTGAACAATTTCATCTTTGAAGTAGATTCAATAATTAAAAAAAAAAAAAGAATTTTTCAATTTGATTGAGTATTGGGGAGAAAGAATTTAGTTTGAAGTATGAAATTCAAATGAAATTAGAATTTTTTTTTTTTTTAATTCTTGAGGAAGTTCATATCTTACTAAGTTGTTCACCCATAATGATTCAGAACAATATTGTTATAGTAGATATATGATTTGCATTAAATATAAATACAAGAAGTTGAGTAGGTGTATTTGTTCGAGTGGATAGAAATATGAAGTATGGAATGAGCATATTTTCTGGTGATATTCATTTTTTTAGTGGGGGTAAAATATCTTGGTATAGTGGCATTTTGATAATGCCTAGAATGAAAAAAAAAAAATCTTAAGGATAACAAAAACTAAAAAAAATAGATATATTTCCAACAGATTAAACCTCCTAAAAGTTTTTTTTTGTTCCAATTGTAGTCACATATGAAATAATTAATAGGACAAATTTAGTAACACTTTTTTTTTTCATGATCTTCTGCAAGAAAATGATAATGTCCAATTTTGAATTGTTAGTCATATATTTTATGACATGGCAAGCTAATTTGATGATTATCTCTCATAAGTATTCAATTAGTTTGGTCTTGCATACTATTGAATTGGAACCATGGTTCTATAAAAGAATAGTTCATGTTTATTTTTCTTTAAAATAAGGGCAAATGACCTGTTTCGTGATTTCATTTTAATGAAGTTACTAAAATATATCAAGGATCATTGAATTTTAATGAAGTTCCAAGAAAAGTGCTATGGAGAGTTTTTTGAAAGAAAAGAGTTAGTAACGCATATATTCAAATCATTAAAGATATGTATGTAGGAGCTATTACTTGTGTTATTCAAACACAAGGTGGTTTGACCAAGTATTTTCCTATTTCGATTGGATTACATCAAGGATCAGCCTTAAGCTCATATCTATTTTCCTTAGTCATGGATGTTCTCACTAGACATTTGCAAGAAGATGTACCTTGGTGCATGCTTTTTGCTGATGATATTCTTCTTGTTGATAAGACTAACGATGGAGTTGAAGATAAACTTGAATTATGGAGGTCAACCTTAGAGTCTAAAGGTTTCACTTGAGTAGATCTAAAATTGAATATATTGAGTGTAATTTTGATAGTAATAGACCTAGTGAGGGGATTGTGACTTTGGACGATCAAGTCATTAATAAGAGTACACATTTTAGATATCTTTGATCTATTTAGAGTGATGGTGAAATAGATGGGGATATTATGAGCATTATTCAAGTTGGATGGTTGAAGTGGAGTAATGCATCGGGCTTTTGCGTGATAAAAAAATCCCCCCTCAAACTTAAGGAAAAATTCTATAAGATGGTGGTGAGACTTGCAATGCTTTATGGTGCCGAATGTTGGCTATTAAGAGAAGTATAATATTAAGTAAAGTGTTGCAAAGATGATGATGCTTAGGTGGATGGGTAGCTTTACCCTTAGAGATAGGATACAAAATGAGCATATACGTGAAAAGGTTGAAGTAGCGCCAGTGGAAGACAAGATTAGAGAGGTAGCATACGCAGATAATTTCCTGATATTAAATTATCAATTACTTTAAGTTATTTAATAGCTTCGATATATTTGATGTATTTAGTTTCGTATAGAGTGATAGCTTCAGATTCTAGTTTGAATTTTGGTTCCAATATGATCCCTTGCTTAAACCTAGCTTCAGATTCATATTTATACTCTAATTGAAATTTGTGTTCAAATACATGAATAAATTTTAATGTAGACTCTAATAAATATTTTAAAGTAGGTTTTTTTGTGCAAATTCAAATTTAGCACATTTAGATGCAGAATCATTGTTAAATGTAAATATTTTCTGTATCCAATGCATATTTTAAAAAATATTCATGAGTTATGAAATTTTCAAAGTGATCAAATTTGACCATACATGCTACTATTGTCAATGTGTATATAACAGACTTTAGCTAAGATCGATGTAGAAGATTATTTTTCGAAAATACTAAGCAAAACATGAGGATGATTCTAGTATTTCTCAAACTTTTAAAGCTTTTTAGTAAGCCTAATTTATTATTTTTAGGAGATATGTACCTTAATTTGTGATTAATACCTAGCCTGATACCTTTAATGATAACGTTATAAAAAAACCTTATGAGAATATTCAAATGCACTATACTTACATTATTTCATTTATTAAGTTGATCATGCAATTGATTTTTACCAATCAGGATTGATAAATATTATTCTTTAAGTTTATGATTTATTTAATTCAAAGTAGGGTTTACTTCATTTACGACACAATGTGAAAATAATAGATGAGATTCTATTGGTTTCATTTCAACAAATTCTATTTTTTTTATATCAAACATATTTTATCTTTTAAAAAATTAATCTAGCTTATTTGTTACCAAAGGATAATATCTTTCAGCAACTTCAGGAATATTTTTTATAACTCCATAATAATGTTTATATTGAAATTGTACATTCATAATTACACCTTTAATATGCTAATTGAAATTGATATTATGTTTACATTTAGATTATATTGTGATACAATATTAAGCGCTGATTTCAAATATGCTGTAAGATATTTAAAGAGTTCGTATTTCTAATGTAAATCTAACCTGCAATGCCTAAAACATTTCCAAAACATTGCAAAATTCATAGGAAACTTACTAATAGCCACAACGATGACAACGTTAACGTTGATGTTATAGACTTAGGCTTCATTTGGGATGGCTTTCTTACTGCTTCTTAAAGCAGCTTTTTAGTACTAAAATTAATGTTTTTCTACTAAAAAGCTTCTTTAAGAAGCTGAGAAAAAACTATCCAAAATGAAGCCTTAATGGGCAGCTAGTGAAGAATAACTGACATAACTCCTGCACATTGGAGGACTTGTGCATGCTGGAGGATTCGGGTGCTTCTTATAAATATCACTCACATCAAGTTGTATAGAATTATTGCCTGCTTTTGTTTGGAAAAAATATTGTTTTGCTTATGTGGTTCTTGTTTATTCTGCTTATTATATTTTTTTAATGTCATTTTACTTCGGAGTTTATCAGAAAATTATGTAGAATTGTCCTCAACCCCCATAATTTTTCATTGAGAAAATCGACTCTTTTTTAAAATTGTTGCCTCTGCATAATATCAAAAAAATATCAAATAAAAAATATATATACGCAGATAAATCAAATAAAAAAATATCAAATATAATATAAATCAACTTAGATGAAAATCTAATAGCTTCTAGCATAAACAATTTGTTGCCAAAGGATAATATCTTTCAGCAACTTCAGGAATATTTTTTATAACTCCATAATAATGTTTATATTGAAATTGTATATTCATAATTACACCTTTATTATGCTAATTGAAATTGATATTATGTTTACATTTAGATTATATTTTGATACAATATTAAGCGCTGATTTCAAATATGCTGTAACATATTTAAAGAGTTCGTATTTCTAATGTAAATCTAACCTGCAATGCCTAAAACATTTCCAAAACATTGCAAAATTCATAGGAAACTTACTAATAGCCACAACGATGACAACGTTAACGTTGTTGTTATAGACTTAGGATTTGTTTGGGACGGTTTTCTTACTGCTTCTTAAAGCAGTTTTTTAGTACTAAAATTAATGTTTTTCTACTAGAAAGCTGCTTTAAGAAGCTGAGAAAAAGCTATCCCAAACGAAGTCTTAATGGGCAGCTGGTGAATAATAACTGACATAACTCCTGCACATTGGAGGACTTGTGCCTGCTGGAGGATTCGGGTGCTTCTTATAAATATCTCTCACATCAAGTTGTATAGAAGTATTGCCTGCTTTTGTTTGGCAAAAATAATGTTTTGCTTATGTGGTTCTTGTTTATTCTGCTTATTATATTTTTTTTAATGTCATTTTACTTCGGAGTTTATCAGAAAATTATGTAGAATGGTCCTCAACCCCCCATAATTTTTCATTGAGAAAATTGACTTTTTTTAAAATTGTTGACCTCTGCATAATATCAAAAAAATATCAAATAAAAAATATATATACACAGATAAATCAAATAAAAAAAATATCAAATATAATATAAATCAACTTAGATGAAAATCTTATAGCTTCTAGTATAAACAATTTCTTGGAATTGAGGATTAAAAAAGCTATGCATGTGCCTTGAAATTTACTTTTTTTTTAAAAAAAAAAAATTAGATTGTATCAAATTTATTTAAAAGCAATCGCGCGCAAACTAATAATAAAATTTAGAAGAAAATATTAGAAGAGGAATTTATCAAAAAAAAAGTCTTTGGCTTATACAAGAAGATAACTTATTCCATAACTCTTTGAGTCTCTCATTTTATCAAGGAAATTTTCAGAAATATAAAGAGTTACATCTTTTCTAGAGATGTTCATTTTTCTGGAGAGGTGGATAAAATATCTAGGCACAGTGGCGTTTTGATACCACCAGGAATGGAAAAAAAGAATTCTAAAGGATCAAAAAAATTGAAAAATTGGATCTATGTCCAACGAATTACACCTACCAAAAAAAAGTATTTTGTTTTGGTTCACATCTAGTTGGAAATTTTATTCAATAAAAAATATTAAGTTTTATAGATGTTTCAAGCCTCTATTTATGATCGTAAAGTCCCTAAGAATTTCATTAAGAAAGATAATTATTAAAGCTTGATAATAGTGGAAAGAACATCATAATGGTTTGATAATAAGGTTGTGAATCACAGATAGTGAATAATAGAAATCACCAATGGTGGTACCAAGTGCCCCTCAAACTATTGGCGGAGGTTAACTTTAGACAACCAATGGGATAGAGGATCAAATGTGAACTACTGAACTCCACCGCTAAATGCCGTAGGGGATTTTATTAGCCACTAAATAGAGCTTCGAGGAATTCTAGAAAGCCATAGGCAAAAAGTAATCTTAAAGGGGCTGGTGAGAAAGGGGGGGGAGTGCTCCCTTCCAAAAAATAAAATTTTTAATAGATTCCTTAAATATTTTATTATGTGCAATGCAAATATTAAGTTATTACATCCAATGCCTTCGGTTCTTCAATTCCTTTTTCACCAAATTCTTACCATCAATTGCAAAATGATTGACCCTATTTTCATTAGCTCTCTCACTTCAACCTCCATAAGTTGACTCCCATTTTCCACCTTGCTTCTCATTTTGCTCGAAGTAAAAAAAATTACCCTTCATCCGGCTTCTGTCTTTCCGACCCTTTACGATATAGGCTCAAGGATTGGAAGTAATTGAGAAATCCAAAAAATGAGAAAATATGGTATTCGGGAGAATGGAAGAAGATTGAGAAGCTTTTCCCAGATGTAGCTGTCTTTTTTTTTCTTTTTCTTTTTTTCCTTTTTTTCCAGAAATAACTGAGTAATATAGCTTTGTAATGATTTAATAGATTAGTTTGAGCTTATTATAAAGGGCTAATTTTTCTTAATATAAGCAAGTTTTTTTACGATTTATTTTCCATGCTTTGTTTTTTCTACCAAGATTACATTATGCTGTAAACTATTCCATGATTAAGAGATAATTCTTTTGCATTCTTGCTGTAATTTTATTATAAAAGTGTGGAATTTATTTAATTTACTTGTTTATGAATTTGGAGTTACATGTCTTATTGATCATCTTAAGGGTAATGTTGCTAATTAGGTATTAGATTTATATGGCTTTGTTCCCTTTAATTGGTTATTTTTTTCTCTTCAGGTTAGTTAACTATTTATTTTCTTATTGTATTTAATATGAGGAAAGAAAATATTAATTTATTTTTATTGGAAAATATTTTCAAGAAATGCTGATGTCTCTCATAGATAAACTTTAATATATCGTGTGCAAGAAAAAAAAAAGAAAAAGATAAACCTTCAAGTTCCATGAAAACTCTTCTTCCAGATTAAACCTGTACATCTTCTAGTTGATAAAGTTTGACGCGTTTTCGTCAATGAAGGATCATAACAGCTCATTCCTCTATATTCTCCAAATATAGTTTATAATAATGGTCATTGATTTTGTCAATGAAGTTTATTTCCTTACCTGTTTCCTTGAGAAATTATCTAACCACAAAGGACAAAATGCTTTTATAGTTGAAGGATTTGGGTCATGGAGTACAGTTAATCAAAGAAATAATTGACCAGCTTAGGCTTATTTAGGCTTTGTTTGGGATGGCTTTCTTATTGCTTCTTAAAGCAGTTTTTTAGTACAAAAATTTTAACTTTTGTACTAGAAAGTTGCTTTAAGAAGCAATAAGAAAGTCGTCCCAAACGAAGCCTTATTCTAAGCTGGTTTGGCTAATTCATTCGACTTAAATGCCCATTTGTGCTCCTATTTGGCCAGTTCAAGAATCTGCATACCTTGTTCGATTTCTTTAGGCTATTTTGCTTTCTGGTTGAACCAATTAGGACATTAGTTCAATAGAAGTGACAAATTGGGCTTTGTTTCAACCTCTCATCGGTGCTTTGGGAACACTTTAAAGATTGCTGTTGAGCAGATAGGATTTTTTGTCAGATCCAGCAGTTTCCATCCAACACGATACCTTATCTCTCTATATGGTTTGTTAATCAGCTATTAAAAGTGATTTCCCGATTTGATTGTTTGATGTAAAGGGAAAGAGACAAAAGCAGCCTCCCTCCCCTTATATTCTTAAGGAATTCTCCTACTTAATTGTCTTATTTATGGAGGATGGTAATCGTTGTCCATTTGTGAGGTGCAGGGAAGTTGATACTTATGGCATCTGTGGGCTATATTGACATTATCAAGCAAATTATTTCGATCATACATCAACAAAATACCGGGTCGCCACCAAAAATTTTTTTTTTCTTCCATTGCAGCCATCTGTGGACCCCTATAACCAACCCAAATGGGTACATCCACATTCTTTTACTTCCTATTAATTATATGATGAAGACATCCCGCCTTCTTAAGTCTCAAATTATTAGCTCAACAATTGGAAAAATGGAATCATCTCTGAGGACTTTTCACCTCTATTCAGCCATTTAACATCTAAATTAGACTTTGTTTGGGACAACTTTCTTACTGCTTCTTAAAGCAGTTTTTTAGTACCCTAAAAAGCTGCTTTAAGAAGCAGTAAGAAAGTTGTCCCAAATGAAGCCTTAGATAAATGAATCATTGCTACAATTTCTTACAAATTAGGATGAAGTTCATGCTTTCTTTTTCTCTTTGCCAGCGTTCAAATCCAACACTTTCTTTGCTAGCGTTCAAATCCAACACTTGCTTAGGCATGTAACATAAATATAAGCTGCATAATTTATGACATTGCTTGCTCATTCATCTTATTTGGCTTCTTGCGGAGAATAGTTGTCTCATTGATTTGCCCATATTATATTTTAAGTGATATAAACGCACATATTATAATAATCGTTATTTTTCCTCTGGGCAGGTTCAAGTTTTACCCTTTGAGGGTTGCAGTGCTTTCTGCAATCTATTGCTTTGGTCTGTACAAGTGGTGGATGTTCGTATCAAGCTGAGGAGAAATTATTCTGTGGAATCTGGATGAGAAGAATTGTCCGAACTATGAGTGTAATACATACTGTGTATACAGTGTGTACACATACATGTGCGGATGCTTATTCCCATCCAGACTCTGAACAGAATAATTTCTCCAAGCTAAGCTGCTTTGACTGCTTTTTCTTAGTTTTATTTCATCGCCATTATTCTGCAACTTACGATGTTCTATTGCCTTTAAAAGGAAATTATATAACAAATCTTGCCTTGTGAATATAATTTTCACTGTTCTATCTTTTGACTTAATTGATGACTAGTGTTTAATGTCGTCATTATGGTAATACAGCAATTGATGCTCTTCTCCAGAATTGACACACATACTTTTTTTGGCTCCAAGTCATTGGATGATATTTCTGGGCTTTGATTAAAAGTTTTCGTGGGATTAATGTGAGCGTCATTATCACTAATTCCTTGCATGCTTATTCTATAGCTCTCATCATTGCCAAGTGCCAGGTAGCTATTATATTTGGTTCCACGTATAAGTATCAAAGGGTAATGTTCCCTTTCTAGGAAATATATATTTTAATTATGATTATATTATTATTAATGGAAATGTATATATATAACTTATTTATTTGAAAGTAAAGGGAGCACTTAGTTAACCAAGTTTGTAAAAATTGGATCAACTCATATTGATCTTATTCCAAAGGTTAACTCAGGGCCATTCAAGCCAATATCAATTTTACTCAGGCTTAGCTATAAGTTTTAATGTGATTTGATTTCAATTCGAGATAGACTTAGCTTGTTAAATTTGATTTAAGATTGGTTTGACGTAAATAAAAAAATAATTTTTTTATCTACTAGCTTGTATGCATTTTGATTTAGTAAGTTGATTAAGGGTCTCTTTGAGATGGTTGTCGCATTTTTGGAATTTTTTTTTTTAGAATGGGGTATCTATCTGCTGCCATTCCCGTAGAGGAGGTGCTTGGTGGAGTAATTAATCCCTCGGCGGGTCTAGTGACAACCAACCCTACAGGTGCCAGACTACGCACTTATTTTCTCCTCACCTAAGGAGTCATGCCGCTTGAGAGAGGAATCGAACATTGGTTGAGGGGTTATCAATCACGCTCGCCCACCAACCTAACAAAGCCCGGTTGTAAAGCAGTTGAATACTTAAAATTTATAAAACTATGAGATATATTAAATTCCTTTGGCGGAAATAAGCTCGTCATAAACATTCTTTTGGCGGAAAAAAATCTGCAAGAAATATTTCCGGCAGGTTTACTGGTGGAAAATAGAAAAATGATGTGTCGTTTTTTAGTCATTAGTTCAGGCATATTATTCGCCGGAATTTTCGGCGGCAATTTACCGCCGGTAAAAAAAAGTTTTCATGTGGTGAGTATACCATATTGAATTGGATTATGATAGAATAGGGGAACTTCAACTCCATCATTTATCATGTATTCAATTTATATCATTCAGAAAAAAAGTTCCCTTCAAACATTTAGGATTTATTAGAAAGATGTTTAGTTATATTTTTTCACATACATAGAGCCAGTAAACATGAAGGAGTCACCCAAAGAATTTCATATAATACTTATTTGATATTACCCTATCTAATTAAGCTTTAGTAACTTTATTACTCTATGAAGGATTATTTTCACAATTCATTAGGTTGATACATTCTAAGGGACTTATACACTTAACCATAAGAAATCTAATATCCTGACTATTTATATCATGCCTAGTAGAGAAAAGAAAGGGACTCTCTTGGTCACTTCAAGATTTCATTTGGGACATTTTTTTATTGCTTATTGAAATAGTTTATTAGTACAAACTTTTTACTAAAAAGTTGTTTTAAAAAGCAACAAGAAAGCCATCCCAAACGAGCATATTATTTAGATATATATGATAGCAATGAAAGAAAAATTAGTTATTATTTAAAAAAAAAGGCCTATTATACCTACTAAGGCTTTGTTTGGGACAGTTTTCTTGTTGCTTTCTAAGACAATGTTTTAGTATACAAATTTTTTGAATTAGAAAATTTTGTACTAAAAAGTCATTTTTGAAAGCAATAAAGAAGCTGTTTCAAACATAGCCTTGGCAATGCCTAAAAAGATGGTGCTTATTGTATCTAGCAGGCAATGCAAAGAGAAAGGCTTACTATACTTATGTGGGGATGACTAGAGATATTTTAATACTTTAAAATAAGAGTTATTATTTTAAAAAAATTTTCTTAAATTTATTTATTTATTATGAGTTTAACTTCCCTATTTTATAAAATATTTCATATTTTTATGCTTCAAAATATTTATTTTTCACTTTAAATATTATAGAATATAAAAGTATATTTAATATTTAAGAAAATTATTTTTGTATTAAATTTAATATATTTATATTTTTTAATTTATATTTATTCAGATATGATTTTGTTGAACTATTTTGGTTAAAATGTATTTGTTAAATATTTTTATGTCATTAATTTTCTCATGCTCATTACATAACTAATTAGGAAACTGAGGTGGTATGATCACAACTGTTAGCTATGGATACAACAAGTATACAACTCATATAATAATAACTAGAGATTACCTCAAAAGGTAAATCCAAGTTATTTGGTGAATGTATGTTAATCAATGATTATGTTTGACATGAAAAGAGACCATTTATTGTAATATATAGTATGCATGGTGAATTGATGATAGTGGTTGTTGATCTTTGATCAAGTAATTGTGACTTTTTCGTACTAGATTTTTTTATATATATATATATGAAGATGAAGCATTGTTAGTTATTTATCATATGACTAGTTCTACGTTAGTGATATCATAAACCCTAGATTAAATTATTAAGAAGTCAACTTAAAACTTAGAACATTAGCTATAACATTGATAATTTTAATGGTAATTTTTTCTTCAAATCCTTATAGATTCGATTGATTCAATTATCAAAATCTACACCCTACATAATAGCCCTAGATTCTATTTCCATGAGGTATGTGTGCCAAACCATTTACATAGAAGAATCAAGCTTAGGGGTTTAAATTTATGTAGATTATGGAGAGCTTGGGGATTGACTGCGGATCAAATCAAGTTTAGAATCCCACCTTAGTACATTTTCATGGTCTTAAAATTTTAGCAAGGTTACTTTATCTGAATAAACATGTGGTCATTTTGGGGTTTCTACATACTTTAGGTTTGATTACATTAATTGGGGCTAAGTGATGGATCAAATTTATTGGGCTTGCTTAAACTCGATTAAGTTTCCTAGGCCACACTACTCTCAATTTTGGTTCAGGATGTTATCGGATTATGTTAAGTTGACTGGACACTAGGTTAATCCCTAATATACAATGAATTGAGTTCAATTAAGAAATATTTAAGTCCTCTAAGTCAATTAGGCTAATAAAGTAATTATGTTCTTTACAAGGAGATTCAGGGTAATCTATGTAAAGCAGAAGTCATGACATACTAGTAGAGTAGGGTTAATTTAGTTCTTCACTAATTTAGGATAAGTTTAAGTCTTACTATATTAGGAGATTGAGGTAAGTAAAAGTCTTACTCTATCAGCGTGAGTCTAGTTCTTAATAGATTAGGAGATTAGGGTTAATTTAGGTAGTAGGTATTACTATATTAGAGAAATTTTATGTCTTATTAGACTAGCATTATTAATTTACAGTTCACCAAAGAATAAATAAGTTCCATCTTACAAATAATTATAGGTTACACACTAGGTGTTTTAGTGGGTAAGGAATTCATTTAATCAAATTAGCTAGCAAAAACTATGATAAGATCTTTCTTGAGGGAAAAGAGAGGTTAACAATAACATTTACATCTATCTGTACATCCAAAAATAGTGACCTTGAAGTAGATCAATCTCAATGTCTTTTGCTTCTTAAATTCTTTAAAACCAACAACACATGTAGGTACAATAAGGACATGAAATAGTCCCTCAAAATCCACCTTAAATTTTTGTGCATGAAAAGGTAAGCAATATACATGCTTGAAGTTTAATAATAATTATAGCAATGAACTACCTCTTGTATATGTATCAAAGTATGTTTATGCATCATGGATAACCATTCACAACCTTGCATGAATTCATGCATGTATTTGACACGAATGATAGTTCATGTTAGGTTGACTTTATATCTCATCCATGTAGATCTCATCTCATGTTTAATAGTAAGCATGACAAGAAGATATTTAAACATGTATATCACTTAAAACATGTAAAGAGACATAATAATATGAATCGAAACTAATATGAATAAATACATCAATATAATGTTTGTCATTGTAGTTTATAGTGCTAAGTAAAAATTGGTTATCATATTCATTCATCATCCACTTTGCATTACTATTGAATTCATTTTTCCAGGATCATATTCAAAAGGGTCATCATGCCCATAATTGTATCCATTCTTAAGCCTTCCTTTAGGTACTAGGGTCCATATCTGCTCTATCTCTATTTATCATTAAGGCCAGCCTCCTTTGTTTACTTTATCTCTATTTATCATTAAGGTAAGCCTACCAAATTACATATGTAGAGTTGTGCAATTCAATCAACTCATGGGTATCCTTTTTTACACAATCTTTTTATCATATGCAAGCAATTATTTTCATTTATATAACATAACCATCCATACATCATAAAAATTATATGAAATATCATGGTTTAATAAACAATACAAGAATATGGACATAAAAAAAATCATATGGAGATCATGAAATTATTTTATCATATGCAGTTGCTTGCATGAGATGTATGAATAATCAATTGAGATCGTATTTTTACATAAAATATGTAGGATGGCATGTAAAGTATCACAAAGTGTGTAGAGATGCAACTTGTCAAAAAGCCCATGATTTGAACAACATGCATGTAATGTAGCATGCCTCACATAAAACATTACAGAACATGATCATTAAATTGCATTTCATTATACACAGTCCTATATAAAGTAAAGAGACCATCATACAACATTAGATATCATAAACATGCTTTACTTGTCAAAATTTGGCGAAGTTACACAAAATCACATAATGGGACAATGCCAAGATTTAAATAATAAAATTAATCATTTTGCTATCAGTTGGGGTGTAAGTGATCCAACCTTGAGCAAGCTTGTTATATGTTCATTTTTAACTTGTTGAATTTTTATTTATTTAAAATTGGCTCGTGCTTGAGATTGTTCGTGAATATTATATTTGTGTTTGACTAGTTGTATATTAAGCTAAGCATGAACCAACTTTAAGGAAATTCAAATAAATAATGAGCCTAACATGACAAATTCATTTTTGGACAGTCTTCGTTGCTTAATTTGACTTTAATCGAAATAATATGAAAGCATGAGAAAATGCATGCGGATCAAAATCACAAATTTTTGGGATAAATAATTAAAACTATCTTCCCTACTAGAATGGCTCCTAAAATAAACTCCATGACCTTCTTTTCTCTCTAGTCCATTTCACTATTTTCCCTCTAAAATGTTGGCTATAATAGAAAGAATGAAAAAGCTTTTAAAAAGAAGCTAAGGGTATTTTAGGAAGAAAAGAGAAAATAAGTGCACAAAGAAGAAAAATTCAATAAAAAGGTGATGCACATTTTAATAAAATGCTTGAAAAACAAAATTCATAAAATGCTTCAACTAGTGTGAACATCATGATGAAAAACATTGCACAAAAGGAATCAATCAACTTTAGACAATGGAATCATACAAGTCAATATTAATCCTAAAAAATATAATAATAATCAAGTTATGTACATTTTAGTACAATGCTAACAAAATTTGAAAATTTTTGCATACAATATAGTTCATTGAATATATATTTAAATATTTCAAGAATTTAAATACACATAAACAAATAATAATTTCATACCACAATTAATATGATCATCAAACTTATTAGAAGTTTGGAGAGATTTGACAAGCTCCCGAAGGTATCATATATATGGAGAAGAATCACAGATAATCTGATAAATCTGCTGTCGACCCGTAAGTCTGTCGTTGTGCTTGAGATTGTTCGTGAATATTATATTTTTGAGTCAGATTTACGGATGGCCGGCGACGACAGATTTACGGGATTTGATAGAAGATGCTCGTAAACGAAGGGTCGACAGCAGATTTATCAGATTTGGTTGAATAAACATAGGTGGTGGGCTGGCAGCAGATTTTTTGGATTTGACTAAATAAGCGCAACGACAGACTTACGGGTCGGTTCAGGTTCACCCGAACCTGAAGCGGGTTGGGTTCAAGTTCAAAAAACTGACTCGTTTTTAGAAACGGGTCGGATTCGAATCGTGTCGAATAGTGCCAAATCAATTTCAAATTAGACAATAACTTGACCGGTAACCCTATTTTGACAGCCCTACCAACAAAAATGTATTACATTCCATCAAAATTTTAGGAGTAAATATGTTGAGAAGAGAGTAATATTAGAATGAGTGATTGTACTTAAAAAGTGTTAATTTAAAAAATATTTAAAGTTAATTATTTTTTTAGCACCCTTTTTAAAATAATTATAAAAAAGGCACCAAATTATTTTGCTTAACGGCATCTCTTTGCATTAAAATTGGCAAGCGAGTCGGTCAAAATCTGGTACGGAGAAAATGGGAATAAAAATAATTGTGGTTAGGATGGTGCATCTCGCCATATAAAATAAATTCCCTTCCCACTACAAGCCAGGGGGACACACATCTGCGTCTTCAGCAGCAGGCGGCAAAGTCAACAGCAAGCAGCAAGTCTTATTGAGACTCCGTTTGTGCGGTTCTCTTTCCCTTCTCGATTTTTTTTTCTTCCTTTTTTTTTCCCACCTCTTCTCGCCCTATTTCTTAAATGAATTACCATTTCCTTCGTTTACATAACACTTCTGCCTGATTCTCTGATGGGTATTGAAGCGTTTACACAAGCAATTCTACTTCTGTTCCATCCTTATTGTTGTGATTCAATTTAGGAGAGCGGATGGTGACTTCAATTTCTTGTATTCAAAGAGATAGTACGCGAGAAGAAAGACTTGGGAGAAGGCTTTTTTAACCGTTTCCTTTTCGAGAGAAGAAGACTGCTTTGGATCGCCTTATCGGTAAGATTGAATGGGGGGTGAAAAGTAGTTGCAAGCATCTTTGTGTTTTTGCGATGTTTTTCTCTCATATTGTTATTGGATTCTGCAGTTTTTGAAGTGCGGAGGGGGGATTTCCTGCAGTAAGTCGAGGTTTCGGGTCCTGGTTTTCGCTCAAAATCGCGTCTTGAGTTTGGAAGACGCGGTGGATGACGAGAATCTAGTAAACGGTGCTTGAACTGTGGATTGACATGGCTAGATTTTGCTGCTTTAGGGGCTGCTGGTCTCAGGTGAGAGATGGACTGATATTTTTTTTTTCTTGGTTAACTTAGCGCAAGTGCTTTAATCCTGTCTTTGATTGAGTTTATGTAGTTGATTCTTTTTATGTCTTCTTCTTTTATTTTGAACTGTGATTCTATTATGACAGTCCACGGGGATTTGGCGTGGAAATTTAGTTGATCTGTGATCTTATATCTATGTCTCTGTCTCTGTCTCGTCTTTTGAGTTTTGACAATAGGATATTAAGGAAACTGGTTATAATTCGAAGCTTAATTGAGTTGATTTAGTTGAATTAATGAAAACACTACTATTTTTATATCGACCTTTTTATTAGGATCCCCTTTGTGCATAGTTTCTCCTTGCGGGGCATATGCAAATTCTTTAAGAAGTCTATGCCACGAGTTGAAAAATGTAGAATATGAGTTTCTACTTCAGGCGGCGACTAAGCAGATGGCTATGTGAAATCTGTTTTGGAGAAACACATTGTTGATCTTCAGGCAGAGGAATCAAATGGATTCTCATCCTACAGAAGGCATGCCTATTGATCATTTCAGCTGTCTTAAAATTTTATCTTGGGAACAGATTGGCCCTATATTGGTTGACCTGGAATGTCTGTACTTTTTCTTGGAATAAACAGTTTGATAATTTCTAGGCATCTAAATGTATAAATTTTAATAAAAAACCCTTTATCCTTTTCTGAAATTGCTAGCCTTAATTTTTTTTTCTTTTAACATGACCAGCTTACTTGTATTCTACCGAAGGTTTCAAAAGCATTCCATTAAAACTAACCATAATTCATCTCCTCCTTCTGATGAATGGATCCGTGTGTGTGCCTATTGATTGTGTGTTGCATAGCTGTTGCTTGTTAAGTTGAGCCATATCTTCTGTTGGATGGAAATTGTGATGCACTGACACTTTGCCTCAGAGAGCTATGCAGTGTGTGACATGTATTGGACACTGACACTCTTTCGACAAGTGTCAGACACATTGAAGGCGTGTTTGATTAAAAATATTAAAAATAAATTGAAAACGAGTGTCCCAATTATGTCTTAAATATTTTATGAATTTTTTGTCTGACTTATGTGTCTTAAATATTTCTTGTATTTCAAAATTTTATTTATTATAAAAATAAAAATTGAATTTTTTATCTCCTCTCTACAGCACCAAATAAATCAACTGCAGCTTTTCCCCCATTCTCCAAATATTCTCATTTCATTTCTCTGGTGGGTCGCAGTTAGAGTTTCATAACAACATTGAATGCCATCTCAATATCAATGTCCAATGTCGTCACAACATCAATCTTTTAAAACAGTCTTAGCGTCAAAATTTGATGCTTCCTTGACATTTATGCTTGATGCCATCAATTTCTACACTCAAAATCATGCTCCTGCACTTTCTTGACATTTCATCTTTGTCCAATGTTGTCTCAACATTGAAAGCGGACATCATCTCCACATCTCAACATCGACGTCCGATGCACATTGCACAACATTGATGCCTAACTCTTGACGACATGTCGTCTCCAATCTTGATGCCTAACACACAACATCGATGTTCGACTCTCGACATCCTAATATCTATCATTTTAAGCACAAATCTAAGTTGCGTGACTTATCATTTCTCAATTATTCTTAATGTTATGCTTATTCAAATTATATACACTATTTTTTTAAATATAAAAATTACAAAATCATATCCAATCCATATCCGTATCTGTGTAGTGTCTTGTCCGTGTATTTGCATCATCGATGGAAAAAAGGTTGATATGTTGATGGATCGGCTGAGCTAGTTCAGCTTATCAACCCGGCTTTAGCAAGGGGGGCTAGTCTAGCTCTGGCAGAAGAGCTCTATGGGCCCCACTAGTTGGACAGCGTGAAAGGAGAAAGTGGGGATCAAAAGGGATTAATTCTACCTTTAATTACTTATCATAGAAAGTTAAAATTGTGATTGAATTAGGAAGGTTTATTTCGAGAAAGAGGGTTGATTTGAATTCAGATTTGGTAGTGAATTAGGAAAATTTATTTAGGGAAATAGGGATGATTTGAATTTAGATTTGGGAAGGAATTAGGAAGGTTTATTTAGGATTATTTAAGTTATTTTAATTTCAATATGTGATTTTGTGTTTTGGAGTAATTTTTTTGGAGTTATTCCTAGCGTTGTCTAGTGTTTGTTGAGAGTCAATCTACCTTTTGAATAGTAGATCAACTTGTACCTTGGTATGTCTTGCCAATATAAAAAAAATTATCCCATAATCTCATTCTTTCTCGCTAATTTCTGTTGCGTTTTGTCATCGTTATTGTTGTTTTTTTGCTGTGTAGAGATTGGATTCCTATCAAATTGGTATCAAAGCATATTTTTTGTGACCTATGATAGCTAAGAAGGTTGACGCGTTGCAGGAGAGAGTTGATGGGGAAGTTGGAAATTTAAATTCTGAATTCAGAGAGTAAATTTCAACAATTAATGGCAGATTTTTGAATCTGGAAGAGATGATGAAAAAGGATGTTGGAGTTTCAAGCCAAGACGACATCATTGGAGGCAAGGGCACCGTTAATCGGACAAAGAAATGAGAAAAAGCCTTGTATAAGGATGTGAGGGAGGATCAACAAATTTTTGGGGAAGACGAGGAGATGCCACCTTTCGAGCCACTTCCAAGGCGGGGAACGGCTGAAGGGTATGTTCGATGAAGAAATTGGGATGATGAAGATCGAAGAGCTGATTTGGGGGAGAGGGAAATATGGAGAGATCACAACACCCGCAAAACTAGAGGAGGAAGAAGCAATCAGGGCGGTGGAAATTCTAAGGTGAGAAAGCTGAAGATGCTGGTTTTTTAGGGAGAAGATGCTGATAGGTGGATTTATCTGGTGGAGTGATATTTAATTGTAAATGGGTTGACATAAGATGACAAACTCACTGCAGCCGCTCTATGTTTGGAGGGGAAGGCTTTGTCCTGGTACTAACAACAACAACAACAACATCAAGCCTTTATCCCACTAGTGGGGTCGGCTACATGAATCATTTTTCTCCATTGTGTCCTATTAAAAGTCAAATTCTCGTTTAAATCTAATAAAGAAAGGTCGTTCCTAATATTTTCTAACCAAGTCTTTTTAGGTCTACCTCTACCTTTCTTAACACAAGTCAAATCTAATACCTCTACTCTCCTAACCGGGTCATCGGAAGGCCGCCTTTTTATGTGACCAAACCATCTAAGGCAACTCTCTCTAATCTTATCTTCTACTGGAGCTACTACAACCTTTTCACGTATATGCTCATTCGTATCCTATCTCTAAGGGTAAAGACACTCATCCACCTGAGCATCCTCATGCCACACTTAACTTAGTATTATGCTGCTCTTTTAATGGCCAACATTCGACACCATAAAGCATTGCAGGCCTCACTACCATTTTATAGAATTTTCCCTTAAGTTTGAAGGGTACATTTCTATCACATAACAAGCCCGATGCATTCCTCCACTTCAACCATCCAACTAGAATTCTGCTGATAATATCCCCATCTATTTCACCATCACTCTGAACAATAGATCCAAGATACCTAAAACGTGTACTCTAATTAATGACTTGATCGCCCAAAGTCACAATCCCCTCACTAGATCTATTACTACTAAAATTACACTCAATATATTCCGTTTTAAATCTACTCAAGCAAAAACCTTTAGACTCTAAGGTTGACCTCCATAATTCAAGTTTACTTTCAACTCCCTCTCTAGTCTTATAACAAGAAGATATATCATCAGCAAAAAGCATACACCAGGTACATCCTCTTGCAAATGTCTAGTGAGAACATCCATGACTAAAGCAAAAATATATGGCTTAAGGATGATCCTTGATGTAAACCAACCGAAATAGGGAAATACTTGTCAAACCACCTTGTGTTTGAACACACAAGTAATAGCTCCTGCATACATATCTTTAATGATTTGAATATAAAGCATTATGACTCCTTTCTTTTCAAGAACTCTCCAATAGCACTTCTCTGGAACTTTATCATATGCTTTTTCTAAATCAATAAATATCATATGTAGATCCTCTTTATTTTCTCTATATTTCTCCATCAAACCTCTTTAATGTATGCTTCCATGTCATCCTACCCGCATGAATCCATTTGATTTTGAGAAACATTAGTATCACGTCGCAACCATGAGCTCCATAATTTAGTCGCTCTCATAGTTTTAAAGTATGACACATTAACTTAATACCTCTATAATTCGTACAATCTTGTGCATCACCTTTATTCTTAAAAATAGGAATTAACACACTCATTCTCCACTCATCTGGCATTTTTTTAGTCTTCAAAATAGTATTAAAAAGTTTAGTAAGCCAAGAAATTCCTTCATCTCCTAAGCATTTCCACACCTCTATTGGAATATCATCAGGTCCAACAGCTTTTCCACCCTTCATTTTCTTTAAAGCCTCTCTAACTTCAGTTTTACTAATACGTCGATAAAAATAGAAATCTTTATTTTCATTTAGGGTGCTAAGGTCACTATAGTCAATCTTATTTTAACAATCTTCATTAAAAAGTTTAGCAAAATATTTCATCCACCTTACCTGGCTATGTCACCAGGGGGGATACTACAGTCGTTGGCGTTACCAGGATGGGTATGGGAGGAGATATCCATGGACTTCATAGATGGGCTGCCCCGTTCGGAAGGTTTTATGGTGATTCTGGTGGTGGTGGATAGATTGAGCAAGTATGCTCATTTCATTCCCCTCTGACATCCTTACACCGCAGTGACAGTGGCTTCAGCTTTCATCAGAGAGGTGATCAGACTGCATGGAGTACCAGAGGCAATCGTGTCAGACAGAGATAAGATGTTCCTCAGTCATTTTTGGAGGGAGTTGTTTAGATTACAGGGAACAGTTCTGAAGATGAGCATAGCTTACCACCCACAGACGGATGACCAAACGGAAGTAGTTAACTGGAGCTTGGAGACTTACCTGAGGTACTTTGTGTCAGAGACATCCAAGCTATGAGCTAAGTGGCTATCATGTGC